TTGACCCAGTATCAATAAGTCCTTTTCGTGCAAAAAAGGTGACACCTCCTCCTCTCAAAATTGGTGCATTTTGCACCTTACAAGTTTTTAATGACGTTAAAAATGCACCCATTTCACATCACACACACGAAGAAAAACAGGAATAAGGAGAAGAAAATCCTCATTTAAAACGTGTATCTGTACTTTCGGACTTTTATATTAAAGTGCGAGACATGAAATGCATTACATCCATGGAGGAAAAAAGTGGTATTATTACTATGCACATATGTATCCACACATATCATTACATACACGCTGCTCCATTGCCCAACTAATCGTAGATATGTAAAAACTGCACTGCAATTCAATTTCCTCTGGGAGAAGAAGAAGATGAAAAATGAAGAAGAATTGCTCACATGTCCATTTCATTTTTCACTACTAAACTACAAACTAACTAACCCAACAAAACCTATAGGATTTGAAATATGGACGCGTTATCGTTCTTCCTCCTTCCAATTTTTTCCGTTCATTTCATTTCATTCTTCTCCAAAATAATTGAATTCTTTGTGGGAGCCAGAAGAACTCCCAACGTGATGGATCAAGGGGTGTAAGAAATAGTAAAAAATGCGTACATTACATACACACGTTTTAGTATTCCTGTTACGTTTTTACCCGTAACAAAACCTAATCAAAATATGTACGGAATACATATTTTAAACATTGATTGAGTTGCATTTCATTGCGTAGATTTTTTTTGGCATTTGGAATTTTCAAGAGTGAAGGGGATCCCAAAAATTTGGCTGGTTATTCACTCACCCAAAAAAACAAGACTTATTTTTTATAAAGTCACTACTCTCTGATAATGAAATACTTTAGGACACCACGGCTGAGAATGTATGCATGTAAACTTTTCGATTCACTTTAGCAAAAAATTCTAAATTCTGTACATTCATTCACTCATTCACCATCAGCTTAAGGTAGATAATAAATAGTTAAAGTATGCCCACCGACGAAGTAGCCAGTTTACTTACGATGGACACCTAAAGTCCCAAGCAAAGTGTACAAAACCTGACCAAATTCCACTCTCTCTTCTTCATGCACGTCGTCGACGTCGTACTCGTCGTCATCGCTTATTTATTAGTGGACGCGAAGACCTGGTGATTAAATGGACTTGAAATTATTTAAAAGTGCAAGTAAGTGTTTAAGAGGACAAGTTATATTATGTCTGAAAAGGTTGGTTTGGTTTTTGGTCAAACTTTTGTATGTATCTCGTTTTACACATCCGTAACCTATTTGCATCCAAAATAAGCCAAGTTGTTATTGGGTATTGATTTCCTTATGCACACACCTCTCGAAATAACTGCATACATACATAAATATGCATCCCTACCTTGTCAGTCATGAATAAAATATCTCTCTCCTACCTGCTACAATTTGTTTAGTTGAAATGAATGGAAAATAAATACCTCTTCTTGCTCAACGAAGTAATGACGAATTTATTGCGTGATATTGGCCCAAGAAAAAAAATGACTACATAAAAATCCAATACATTTTTGGATTACTAGTTCTGTCCCATTTTACGCGTGTTTTGTTATGATCTCTCAATAAGGTCCTCCTCTTAATTGCATTACACAAAATTGCGTCACATCTTCTGAGACTTGCTTCACCTGGGGATACCTACGCATGTATGTATCTCTTTTTACTGGGGTGACATTTGGCTCTCCACTCTTCTGGTCACCTTCACTTGAATATTACTTATTGCAAAATAACGTCTAAAATGTAAGTCAACAGGGAAGTGCATCCATCGTCTCACTCAGCAAAGAAAAATTCTTCGCTAATTTCATTACGCCTCGAATGAGCTAACCAACCCATTAATAATGACGGAGATGATAATTCGTCGTAACTAATATATTTGTTTGTCTGCAAGAAATCCTATATATTTTTACTTTCTACCCACCGCGACAAAGTCCTACCTACGTCCTACCCACCTTGTGAAACAAAAAAACACGAAATTTTTGCAACAAACAATTGGCAATTAAAATAAGAAATGAAGATGATCGATAGCCTGCACTCTCCATTCGTGGTGGAGATGGACAATGTCTGCATAATTTACACCCCTCTTCATTAACATGGATTTGATTTGAGCATGCCAGCCAAGGAGAGGAATAAGAAATCTGATGAAATTCATCTTCGTCTCATTCACCTCTCTTACGTCTCTCTCTCTCTCTGATCATAATTGAAAAGGAAAGTTGGCAAAACTTATTTGCATCCTTAGAACGAAAAGACTTTAAGTAGTCCGTCGTCCATCGTCGTCCCTTGTTGCGTTATTAGTTAAAAGTTAAAATTTGCATACGTTTCAAAATCCTGCGCCAAACCAAACCAAGCTGACCAAACCAACCTACCTACCTTGATTAAATCCACGGCTGGTAAACAATTAATAAATCTTTTGGCATCATGTACTAATATACATACATAACCAACCGAGTGCAATGGACGATCAATTCATTTACAATCTAGTAGCATTAATAATTTCTGCGCTTTTCCACTGTCACTTTCTTTCTCGAAATCCAATCCAATATAATACCCCACCTGAAGATTTATACACACATGTAAGGCCACCAGCATTACCAAGAACAACACAACAAATATAATACGACGGGGCATGAAATGTATACAAATCTTAATACAAAGTTAACGAATCTAGGTTGACTTTGTTACTCTCATCGTCATCTTCGTTCGTCCGTCTCTCTCTTGCTGACACAGAAACAAGACCAGACCAAAGAAACGAGCCATTAAGCAGGCAAGAACACGAGTTAATTTTGAATCTACTTTTTTCTTTCGAAGTGAATGGAGGACCGAGTGGACAAACAACTTTTAGCTCGCGTGGATGTATGTATAGTTAAGGGATGAATGAAGAATACAATGGATCGATATATGAAGAAGAAGTAAATAAATGTAATAATAAATAAATGAGAGTTAGTGAGGAACAGGCTGCGCTTAATCTAGAGCTCATCACGGTAACGTTGCTGGTGGACATTGGCTTGGTTATAGTATGAGATTCATGTCGAGATGAAGCTCATATTCACGATGGGATATGGCAGAGCCGACTCGATCTTGGAATACTTTAGGAGAAAGTGACTTCACTCTCGTTCTCGAAAATGTGATGACCATGGGTCGTAATCTTGCGCGAGAGGAATCTCAATGCTAATTACTCTCCTTTACGTAGGTAATCTTTGGCAAAGGTTTCCCTAAACATAGAGCAGAGGCCAAGAATCGATCGATTTTATAGGCATGATGACATTTTTGGAAATTTCGAAAATTGACAAGCTTGATTTGTTTGTATGAGCTGTGACACATAGTTAGTTAGCCTTCCTCCTTCTCAAAATGATGGTAATCGACGTTGTGCATGATGATGATCATCATCACTGACTAACGTCTTGTTACAAAATATTTGCAGTGTCAAAATATTTATTTGCATCCCATCCATACTCGTCATTGTCCCAATTATTACGAGATTACTAATTTTGTCTCGATATAGACATAAAGTCGTAAATAATAATTATAATTATGACTGTTTTGTGTAGTGGTCATTATGTACGACGAAGTGCCAACATTAATAATAATAAATAGCACAATAATCTTCCTACCTCAAAAAATACTACTTATTTACTGCTCATTACATTTATTAGATGTGTATAAGTACTATTGCGAATTGATTTGGAAATTGGGAGGAGGAGAAGAAGGACGGACGGACGGTCATGTTCATCTGTCTACATACACAAATAAATATATCCACATGTCGAAAATATATTGAATCTCTCTCTCCCAATTTAATTTCAAAGTGAAGCAAGCAACCCAACCAAACCCAGCCCAACCCTGTTTCAATTCAAATTCGCAATGAAACAAACTCATCACATTTTGACATTTATTCACTCCATTTGGCTACCTGGCTAACTAACTAACTATAAATTCATTTCGTTTTATGACCACTCGTCGACATCGTCATCGTCATCATCATCCTTTAAGACGATACCATAATTTCGTGACAAATCACTTTTCCTCATGAGTAGTGAGACAAAGTTGAAAGCATTTCTTCAATTTTATTTAGCATCATCTCGCCACGGCTCAATGGGCCATTTAATAACATTAAATACATACGTATACATACCTTAAAAAATTATTAATCCAAATCTCATCCTGATTTTCTACTCGTTTAGTAAATAGGAAATGAAATGAAATGAATTCCATTCTTGAGTTGAGACCTGGCTTGACTCCACTTTATTCATCTCATCCACTTTATTTGTATTGGATCATTGGAATAAAATTAAAAAGTGAAACCTCTCACTTAACTTTACATTATCTCATCTCACTCATCTATTATCCATCTCTTATTTGCACTTCGTACCAATAATCATCACCATATAGATGATTATTACTATGTCAAGCTGTGTCCCTCTCTCGATGCATTTAAATTTGCAAACATTTTAAATTTTTCTAATCTGGTGGGTGGGACGCGCATTCCATCCAAGTTAAGATTTTTTAGCTACCCTCCATTCATCCGTGGCGAATATAATATGTGGCTGGCTACTTATTTATTACCGTGTCTGCCTGTTTATTTTATCGTCGTGATTTCCAATTTCCATCCCCAATCTTAATCTAATCACGGTTAAGAAGGCGTGGAGGAGATTTGCACGCCAAATAATAATAATACTACTTAATAACGAAAAACTAATAAACTTATTAACAAAACAACAATGTTAAGGTGCCCGAAAAAATTTTATAATTTCTGGCAAACAAATCCTTCACCACGACCACGACCAGACCACGATGCAAACCGGTCAAATCGACCGAGTCAATCACCATCATCGTCGTCACCGTCACAATTATATCCCGTTGTTGTTGGATAAAGTATTTATCGAAAGAACAAATATGATGCATGTGTTTACTAATTTTTTCGATACTGGTTTAATTAAATTATGGAAATAATTAAAGTTAAAAAATAATTAAGCCTCAAAGCTTACCTTGCAACTTTGGATCCGCAAGAGTTGAGTAGATCTGAGTGAGAAGAAGTGTGTGAAAGAGAAGAAAACTGAAAAAATGGGGACCCCTTCTCCCCCCAGCACTGGACAATAGTGTCATTATTTTCTGATTTTTTTCTATTATTATCCCGTGTCACTTATCGGTGGTGGATAACCACTTTTTCCTACTTTAGTTATCTACTATTCTTATCTTATTTATCTTCCAGTACGAGTAATAAAACACTTTTTAAAAATTATTGCTTGGTCACTTTTTTGGGCGGATAAAAATATCTCACCCCGAATTCAAAGCCATTACACACTTTTTTTTCACAATTTTTTGTTCCCTCCAAAAAGTATATCCTGAAAAGGAGAAATTTTTCGATTAAAATTTTGACAAATTTATTTTTATCACTCTTCTTTTCCTTATAGATAAAGGAATACCGTACCTTGAGTGAAGTGACCCTTGTGAGTACTTTTAGTGGCTGCCCAATTCGGTCAGTGGGTCACTTTCCTTGCAGTCTCCAGGAAGTCCAAGGGCTTTGTTAAGGTAAGTCCTTATTAAAGTACCTCTCACTATGTCCGGTCACTAAAAATAGCCCTTATTGCACGTGAGAACAGAAGAAAATGCTGCAGAGCGTCCTCGTCGTCGTGGTGCGCCCGGTTCTGACTCTGGCTAACAAATGCGGCAATAATGTGGGCCAAAGGAAGTTTACCTTTGCTGTGAGTGCAGGCAGGTAAGTTAATGCAATGCAGTGCAATAATGCCAGTAAGGAAAGGGTTGTGTAGGTAGTAGTAGAAGGCATTATTATTGCTAAGTTGAGAAACCAACCAACCATTCATCCCCCAAGAGAGAGAAGATCCATCCATCCATCCATCCACCTGTCTCGTTTTGCCTCAATGTTATACCTTGCATATTCTGCATGCTTACTTATTTTACGAGCAGAAGAGATTTTATTATACTGTGCTAAGGTATGTATGTAACGTATTACGAGAAGCGATGCACTTTCGGTGCGAGAAAGAGAGAGATGATGTCAAAAAATGCAGGAGAGGAGATGTGATAATAATTCATCGAGGGGTTATTTTTACTTTTTCGGGTAAAATTTTAGTAGCAAAATTTGTACGGAGATTCTTATTGGTTTAGTTACAAACTTGATTTATATGAGGACTTTTGACAAATATTTGGGGATTAGTTTTGTAGATAAATTATGTATTATTCTAAATGTAGTAGATTAGGTCATAAGTGGCGAAACAACAAGATTTTTTTATGTCAAACCGAAATTCCATTAGTATTTATTGAAGAACTTTTATATATTTTATTATGCCAAAGATCACTTGTCTAGACTAGGAATTTTCCAATTACCCACATTGTTAGTAAAATAAAAAGTCGTTGCCCAAATGTCTGTAATTTAATACGCAACGGAATATTTCCAAAAATTGTCTAGTAGCATGGAGGTGCAACCATAATAATTATTTGATTGTTATTGAGTTATTTTATCGCCTGTTTGCAATTTCGGTAAATTTCGTAATCGCCAAATCTATTTAATACAGATTGCACCGCTATCCAAAATCGATCAGGTTTTAGTTTTACTGTATTTAACAAAATTTGTACAAATTCAATTTTAATTCAATTTCCACTTATTTTACGATAAAATTATATCCCATTTACATACGCCCATATTTCTGTATTTCCTTACGAGCACGAGCGATAATACGTATTTGTAATTATTAATGACATTTCCATTTGTAATATCCCTCTAAAATTAACCATATCCTGACACACTACATGTGTATGTATAAAGTGCATCATTAATTAAATCCTACCACAAAGACAAGTATCAATTAAATACACTATACAATTCCTTATTTCCCTATTTTTTCCACCAATTCCATTCTCAGAATTGTGTATGTACCTTCTACCAACAAACCCTAAGTAAGAAATAAAGCTCCATATTTCTGCCAGAAATAAATGCGGTATCATCAAGGTAGTAGCTCATAATAATAAGAATGAAGTAGTAATGTTCCACCTGAAGAGAGGAACGGTAACTTCCTCTCGATAACGTGATGCCCACTGCACATCCGACTCACTTCTTGGGAGGAAATGCACCCTTGTCGTCGTCCTCGTCGTCCTCCTTTGTTGCTGATGAAACTACTATTCCTATCTCCACCCGTAGACCAGAATACTTTAAGTAGTGTCAGCTACTTATTGTGATCGTTTTGTCCGTCCGTCTGTCCGACTGTGGGCACGATATCTCCAGAACGCCTCAACATAATCAAAGGCGGTTATCACCAGTGTGCTTATAATTTTTAGTTCTCGGTCAAATTAGACATTGGGGTAATTGGACCACCCCCTACCTTCAGGAAGTGTGGTTCAAAATTAAGTTTAGCCTTAATTTTTTCATGTGAGGTGTCGTTTTAAAGGAAATTTCACCACGAATTAAATACCGTCAATAATTTTGACTTCATGACCGTGAGGACGAGGTCAAAAGTCGAAAATACATAATTGACAGATATGGTATCATATTAAAGGAAATTTCAATCGTCCTGCCGCTACTTCTTTATATTCGTCTGCAAGAATTTATTTCTTACCTGTCTGTACTATTTACTTTACTGGCTCAACTTCTTTTCCTTCTACAGGTTTCAGTTCATCCATCATTTCATTTATTCAGGCAAACATAATACCATGTTGGATACTAAATAGCTATATGTTAAGGGAATATATTGTCACTCACTTTTGTATAATGGCACATATTAAATGTTTAGTAAGCTGTGTTTGGAAAATGTGAGCCGTTGGTGGTTTGGTTTGGTTTGGTCTGGTTTAATGGATGAATGGAAAGAAAAAGTGTCGCACTCGGGAGGTGCAAACACGTGACAATAAGTAAATGACAAGGGACGAGATGATAATGACTTTATATATTTTTGTCCTCCCGTGGACACAAAAAGAGTGGTGATACAGACGGAAATCAAATATTGTGTCAAATTTTACGGGGAATTTAGTTATCTTGTGGTTAATGAAATTGGTGTACGAGTGGGAAAAGAAATGTGGTTGGTTAATTCCCATAGTGGAATTTTTGGAATGTTCGTATATTTAAATGTAGGAAAGGTGTTGTTCTCGCAGATTTAAATAATATGAATCTGAAATCGTAATTTTGGTTCATATTTTCGTACCAATTTAACAAATTATTACAAGTAAAATTTTTCCAAAATTACAAAGTTTAAAACAGAAACATATAGATATGAAAAGTTGATTTTGTGGTGTTGATAATATTTTATTCATAAGTTGTGATTTGCAAATCGGAAAACGTACAAAATATAAAGCTTACGTTAAAATTTCATTCTTTCTTTAACTCCTTATTCTCAAGTCTAATAATTTTATCGATTTTACAAAGTTTTTATCGATGCATTTTTACGGATTGCAGTTCAATTTGCTTGTACACATTTAATTTTAATCATCACAACAGCAACACACCAAATTTTTGACGCAGCACAACATTTCTCTCACACAGGCACACAAGCAATATCCGATACAGCAGAAAATAAAAAATATCAGAAGAAAGCCTCCAACCGCAATGCCAACTATTTGCCAAGTTGTCAATTTATGCTTTTCTTCCTCAGCTTTTCGAATAGTCTCCTCCGTACGCTTCTTCATATCGTGGACAACGTTGTCGTAAAATCGCCTGCAATAAAATAAATACAATGAAAAATTCAGATACATGTTTCATTATACGAAAATTATTACAATATTAACTAACTTACCCATCCCAACTGTGGAATTTCCCCGGTTCCTTGTTACCATCCTCGACTGCTGCTACTGGTAATGCACTTCCCGAAACTGTGTCAAATAATCCGAGTAGTAGGACCACAGATAACATTGAAGTAATTATTGTAGCACAGAATAACAAATCATATCTATTTTTTATCCTCATTTTGAGAAAACTGGAGTTCGATTACTCCATTGAAAAACTCAGAGGACAAATTAAAATCTCATACTCTGCATTATTCAAATTGTCACGCAGGACTGACTAACTGACATAAATATGATGCTCCACACCACACACAACGAAAAACGCTGAATCGAGGTGATGTCAAAACCTGGATGTTGCTCCCTTATCTTATCTAACAATTATCAACAGGATTTAATAAATGCGTCACCTTTAACATCGCCACTTTCCATTATTATTATTATATTACATACAAATAGAGGTGCCATTATGTAATATACATACATACACAAGTACACAGAAGAACTTTAAAAAACATTCATATGTACACATTCATACCAAGGTGAGTTAACCTACACAGGAAGATGTGAGTAATACATACATAAATTCAAACATTTGCCTAGTTTATATTTACACAAATCTCTTCATATCACATTTCATACATACTATTATTTATGTAACGAATTTTAAAACGGGTTTATTATAAAAATTATTCTATTTATTCTCCTCTTGAGCTTCTTTCTTCATCGTGTAAACGTGATGATAATTTGGTAAAACTTTTGCGAGAAAGTCAATTTGTAACAATTGTGGCTGAAATTATACATAAATCCCATATTATCCTTTTAATTCCATATTATAACATAAAATCTTGTTCAATCCATAATTCTACATACGGCCGGCTTCTCCCCAGCGATCCGGTGCTTCCAAGGAACCCCGTAAAAGACTGAATTTTCAGGCAGAGATGTCTCCGCGATCTCTTCACCACTTTCTGCCCCTGGTTCCTTGTCCTCTCTACTCGTCGTAGTTGAACTATTATTATGAGTAGTCGATCCAACCCGCGTCGCAGCCCCAAACATACACCCGCTCGGCACCACGATCTCCTCACCGACAAAGCCTGAGAAAAAAGAGAAGAGAAAGTCAATTTCCTCCCCAATAAATCCCATTTTATTGAAAAGTTCACCCCATAAAACTAAACCAACCAACTCACATTTCGTCTCAAACACGTTATTATCTCCGACAGATTTCGCCAATACGGTCGAACCCACTTCGAACACATTGTTTGATCCGATCACCATCGTATCCGTCGACCTATAAGTGAAAGCGTAAGCAAATAAATTAATAAATCAAGCCCAATTCATCAAATTCTCTCCTTCTTCTTTCACCAACCAGTTAATAATAGTTGTCAGCTCTTCGATAATGTTAAAATCTCCGATAAGAATTGGCCCATTTTTTGCAATAATTTTAGCACACGGATGAATAATCGTTTTCGTCCCGATCTTGACATCTCCCGTCACCTCGGCCTCCACGCACACCACGGCACCATACATAATCTGTTGTTGTCTGAAATACAGAAAAAAAATAAACAAACTCAACCAACTTATATAAGTGGCAAAGAAACATATAAATCTTTATCCAACAATAAAAAAGAAAACCATTAGCTTTTGTAAAAAAAAGAGAAAACATTCAAAAAATATATCTCGACTCGAAGTGCAAAACGCTTTCCGTTTCAGATAATAGATTCCAATCCGAGAGAAACCTTACACTTTGGGGCATTCTTCTCCAAATCAATCTCTGATTGCATTAAGGCGCAACAACTAGTCAACAACCAAGAGAGAAAGTAGAGATTTTTTTTCTAGGAGTGGAACAGTGGAGATTGAAATGTCCGAAATGCGAGGCCAAGTCATTTGTACCTGTCAACACGGCGAAACCTCTTAACAGATCAAATCATCAACTCTTACTTTTCTCTCCATAATAACGGCTGGGGAAAGCACTCCACGTGGTAAAGTAAGTAAGTGGCTCTTCCACCGAGCTAAGCACCACTGCTCGTAATAACAGTAACATTACCACTTTTTTCTCTCTGTGGATGGGTGACAGACATTTTACAAATCCATTTAATGCCTGCTTTATGGATTTTAGAACACTTTTTTCCCTCCTTCCCCTGTTTACTCAAGTTGCGTTGCGTTATGCCGTGCGGAATAAAATGCGGTATTATTCTGCAACTATGTGTGTACATGAGTCGATCTCTGTAAAGTTTGAGCATGCAGGAAAAAAATCTATTGTGTTATTATTGGTTCCGATCTGATCTGGATGGCTGGATGTTACATATTAAATAAATTTGTATTGTTTCACAATTCTTTACATCTTTGCGGGATGGGGAATTATTATGCTCAGCCATGTCCGACTCACTTCTCATGTTGCAATAATATACGGAATCTTATATGTTGGAGACGATAAAAAAGGCAAATTCCCCTTTAAACGATGTGACGCTATGTATTCCTCTATGTGTGTATGTTCACTCTTATTTTCATATATGAGATCCAAATTCAAATTCAACTTCGGCAAGAGGATAATAACGCAGGATTGTAGATAAATACATGCATATGTAATGTCGACCACAATCAAAGATGAGAAGCAGGCCCAATTCTCATAAATCTGCCTCGGGAAACGAGACGTGTACGGTTTTGTCACAAATATAAGACCAAAAACGGCTTCTAAAACCTTATGTTTTCAGAACAATTACTTACAACATCTAAAACTTTGTCAATAATTGGTTTGAAAACTGTCAAAAAATACGGCCCAACTACACACCATGAATTTCATAATCTCACATAAATACAAAGCTTAAAGTTACCCGATTCACATGGAACAAAACCCACAAAAATGCTACAAGATTAAGCAAGAGCGCCGTTAACCTAGCAATCTCTCTCCATTTTTAATAACTGATAACCCCTCCATATCGGAAACTTATGCAAAACACGGTACACCCCCAAGCCAAAAAAAAATCTCTGACTTTCCTACTTTTCCAACAAAAATACATATACTTAACCGCATCATCACAATTTTCTGTTATCTTCCATCCCACTTTTTCTCTTGCCTGGTGCAATATCACTCTTAGCATAAAGGACATTTCTTCCTCCATACTTTTTTTACTTGGCTAATTATACATGCTAATTATTCCTCGCAAGAAGAATCATCATTCTCAACCATGCGAACTTCACTCCGCTACATTTTCAGTCCTCCTATGATGATAAGTAAGCAAGTCCTGTTTAAAAAATTCAACCAACTACGTACGTACGAAACCGGACTATGTTACGTACGTACGTAGGAGATACAAATGGATTTCTCATTCAAATGAGGACCCCACCAAGAAAAGAATAATATTTATAAGAGACTTCTATCTTCCGAGAGGGAAAGAAAGTTGAAGTGAAACAAAATGGGGTAATAAGCATAATAATCGTATCATCTCGATGCTAATACTCTGGACACAATTGTAACTGTCATGACTTTTCGGCACGAACGAACGAGAACCACCGCAGCACAATCTTACGTATACCAACCAATTCTGCGCCTAAGTGATTCATAACTTCCGATGTGCGGAACGAGGCAAACAGAAAAAATGAAACAAATATAAAATCGTCCACCATTTCATTTCTTGGTCTGTGCTTATGTACATCCATATCTTGTACGTAGAAAAATACTCCTAATTATTTTCTGTCAGTGACTAATAAACTAAACCAATAGTTGAAAAAGATGAGTAGAGAAAGTCGGCCAAGTTACGCATGCATAATAACCAACACATTTTGGTATTATGATGATCTCCTCGCTTGGTTATGAGGAGACGAACAAGAAGCAAAATTGTAATAATAAATGAGTTCGTTTTAGTTTAGCATTTATGTTTCTCTGTATGAGGAGCAATTAGCATGGGAATGGCCTTCATCATCATTCCGTCCATCCTATTGCTTTTCGGCTGGTCGAGTTACAAATTACTCAGTAAAGCAAACTACCCTTTGCCCTCCTTAGATAAAACCTAGCTAAAAACCAGACAAATTTGGGTACAGGATGAAACGAGAGATCATATCGTAAATCAGGTGGTTTTGAATTCATTTGCGGAATCAGAAAGACCAGATCCGCAAATTATATGTGTAACATTTTCAAATTCTAGATTATGTATTTCGAAATTCTGCACAAAATCATTATTTTTCAAATTCTTGCTCATTTCGAAATTCTGCACAAAATCGGCACAAAATCAATCCTCCCTTTTTTCTCTCCGGTTCAAATTTGGACCACCATTTGTATGTAGATTTTACATTTCCAAGAAAAAATACGACTTTGAAAAAACCTAGCGAAATCGAGCCAACTTATATTGCTTCAAGATTTGATGGATCTCTTGAGACTCGACTGGTTTGTTTAGGTCCAGAGTGAGTCGTTTATAAGCAAATTGTCATTCTCATTTGAATCGCAATTTTCATTCTTATTTTCCACCTAATTGGCTGCTGCTGCCGAGTCAACAAAATGCAGAATGAGTCAGCCAACCTTCTTCCGGATGAGCAATCTGCTACATGGTTTCACAGAATGAAATGCAATGGACGCTTCACAAAAATTTCATGGAAAATATTTATCGAAGAATATCTCAAAGAAGGAGGAGAAAAGAAGCGTTAATTTCCTCACACACAAGAAACTTTTAGCGGAGCGAAAATAATAAAAGTTTCGCCTGCGTAAAAGCGAGCCGTATAAGAAATTAATAACGCTCTTACACCCAAACATTCTAATTTAATCAGCAGCAGAAGAACAAGAATACCCTCGGGGTTGTGGGCATTCGGTGAAAAGGTATCATTTTATTAGTCGAGGTGTAGGGAAAAAAAAGTTTTCCGTATATGTTTCCTAAAATTATTCGAGCTTGCAATTTTCCCGATGAATCCCATCCTTAAAATCCTAAAATTCGAAAGTAATTCACGACTCGATCGTTACGTACCAAGGACCAAGCCAGAGTGCAACTTGAACTGTTTCCTGAAGTAATTAACACCTCGGAAAGCAATGGTTATTATGAGTCTTTTGCTCCCCTTCGCTACATATCTGTACCTACTTGCATATGAAAACGTACATACTTACTTGTGCGTACCTACGGCAAATTCATGGCATCCACAAATTTTGAATCTTCACCAGCTATAACTTCATTCACCATGAGATTGGGATCATGACGATGAATTGAAATATATGCATGCACATTTCTAAATATGTACAAGAGGCAGGACGACAATTAAACCATTTTACACGTTACGCAACCCCAAAACATTTCCTTAGTGGGCAAACCTTCCTATAAAACTAAATTACTTTACATCTGTACCACACACCCCAAATCTTGCCATGCGTAAGTACTAATCAATAATCAATCAGACCAAAGACCGGACATCACATTGACAACACGTCATTCACTAAAATCTTCTCTCATTACTTCCTCCCGTTACACGCTACCACTACCGTTCCGCAAGATATCGATAAATACATTCTAATGGGCTAATTAAAGGGTTTAATACGACACTAAATATGAATAAGCTAATGGGCAAGGTGATTATTATACACACTTTTCTCATCCCCAACATTTCCTACTCGTCTAAAGATTTACAAAATACTTCATCATTATTGTTGCTCTCCTATCACCACCACCAACCTCAAGTCAACAACGAAACCAATTAAGCCCCCAATACCAAAACAATACCAACCATCCCATCCTCATCATCCCCGGTTTGCATACATATGCATCCACGCTGGAACATAAATATCCACCTCTACCTCTAGGTAAAAGCAGGCTGTGCACATTTAGTTAGTGGCGCAGGCGAGACGACACATATTATTCTACTCTCCTCTCTCCTCTCTGATGACTTGTAGCATTACTTAGCAGGGTAATAATTGTGAAGGTGATTAAGTATGCCGGGACACGTGATGCGACGATATATAAGTGGCAGGGAGGCAGTGATCGAGCCAACATTAATTCGAAACAGCTCTCCACCTACACTCTCTTCGCTCTCTCTCTCTCCGAATATTCAGCACTACATAATAAAATAAAACACAAGTATACATACATAAGAGAAGCCTGGCAGGTTTGGCAGACAGACAAGCAACACAATTTATCCATCCATCCATATGCAGAGTAAAGTGTAGAGTTTAACTTTCAAATGGAAATTATCATACCAAATTCCTTGTACAAATAGAACACTCACATTTTAACACCGAGTATCACTTGACTTTTAAGTTTTACATCTTCTCTGCCACTTCATCTCTCAGGCTCACCTTGCTTAGATCTAAATATCTTTCTATTCACCTCACGGATTTGGTGGTTTGGTTTTGTGTGTGTGTGTTTCTTCTGTGTTCGCAGATTGAGATCAAGTTTTTGGTTCAATTTCTCTCAAAATTTTATCTACTTCTTTGACTTTTATCTTTTTTAACATGATTTCCAAAGTTGGTGAAAGTTACGAAATTTTCTCTGGAAGAAAGAAATTGTAAATTGTGTGGTAAATTAATTTACGAGGTATTTCTTTCTCCTTAATCTTTCCACTAATACGGACACATTCATCTCTTCTTCTATACTATTTCTTCTTAAGAGTAACTAACTTTTCGTCTCATCTCATCCACTCAACTAAAACTGCACAGTAGATCGAGCCGAGCGAGGTGAGGTGGATGAAAAAGCTACCCCAAAAAATATTTCACTTTACCCGGATGAGAATCGTGGTAGTGGAGAAACATGACAAAGTTGCTACCCTGGCTGGCTTCGAGTGAAAATCGTGAAGGTAATTTCTGCTCTCAAACCGTGTTCCTCGTTATTAGTTACTCCTACGGAGAAATACTTAGTTAGAAGAAGACCCTTGGGACTTGGTCGGTCGGGGACGGACGGTGAAAGAAGAAGAGACGGTGAAAGTTATAGTACAAGTGTTCTAATCAACTGACTGGACCGCTACATACTTCCCACACGACTTTTGTTCTGTCGCCGTGTCTGATGATGATGCCCACCTGAGACAAATTATTCTTTATGGTTATTGCTCATTTAAGTGTGAAAATGAGACGATGCTCGTGGTGGTGGTGGGTGTGATGAAATGAAGGGTGAGGAACCACGACCACATACATTTTCTTAATCTCGAAATGGATGGACCGGACTTTTCGTGGTGGACGAGCTTTAACCTCGAAGAGAGCAATCCGTCGACAGTTTAGACCAAACACTGTCATGGAGACGCTCTCTTTAAGGTGAAATGCTACAATCGACACGATCAGAAAAGAAGCTACCAATACGACAAGATACGAGTAGATACCAATACGATAAAGAAATATTCTCCATCGTGCTAAATTTAGTTACTTATATAATGATTGATTTATTTACTGATTATTAGTAAAATTAACTCGACATGATTGATTAAAGTGACTTATGTATAAAAGATTCAATAAAAGAAGTAAAATTATTATCCTCGCAAAACTATTTGTTTGTCACCCTTATTACGAAATCTGTGAGTAAATTGATGATTTGCACTTTCTCTTTCGAATAAAATCACTTTCTCTTCCCTCACACACACAAGTCTCTTTCTCTCCCCGCCATCCATTCCTCCATGATAAATGACCAGACCACCCAATAAGTTGCAGAATCGTGACCCTGGCTGCAGGCAACCCGCCGCAGATTACGAACAACACATTATATTTCATCTCAAGAAAAAAAACACAAAAGGAGCAATTTGGTCAATTGAATAGGGAAAGTTGCCGTGTAACGGAGAATCCAAAATGCTCCCAAATGGTCACTTAATAACAAAATATCGCCAAAGTATCGAAACTCTTCTTCCGAATTTGAGTCACATTTAGGAATCGGGATCAAGTAAAAGAGCCGGCAAACAACTTTCACCCCTCGCTCACATACACAGTGCGGGTTTCGGTTAGGTTACACACACCACCACGGCGTTTTCTGCCTCGCTTTGCAGCAATTGTCCCGTTTCACAGTGGGAGAAAATCCCACAAATCCTGTCCCCGAAAAGTTCTCACTTTCTTGTTCTTCTTCTCTTCTTAAGTCGCGGAGACGATTGAGGGTCAGCTGGAGTTCATAAGTTTTTCTCTCTCCGTCCTCCTCATTTCGATGTTGATGCGGATAAATAAAGAAGATTGGGCTCTCATCGTCGTCATCGTCGTAGTATTCGTCGTCGACCCCCAGCCGTAAACCTTCTCGGTTGGACATAAAAAGTTGAGAAATCTCGAAATCCGGTTCTTCTTCTCGCTTTTTGGCACTCTTACTTTCTTCTTTCTTGAGCGAGAAAATGGGTGATGATGACTCGACAAAAGGCTGGACATTTGAATAATAAGGAGGCAAAGTGTTGTTGGCCGGTGGTATTAAATTTGATATGGTGCTGATATCACGAGAATTCCCGTCGTCATAATTTGATTGTGATCCGGTTAAGGACATCGGAGCAAGATTTTCCCCAAGTCCGGAACTTTTCCACAAGTAGAGAAACAGCAAGAGGAGGAAAGTCAGGGAAAGTCGGAACCTCCGAAGCGGCATAAATCTAATCCGCGCTAATAATTGTGACCACTTCGACGACTTGACCACGGTTAACCGGCGGCTACGTGCACAAAGTGAGGGGGAATACAGCGAGTATAACGTGGAGGAACGTCCTCGTATCCTCATTTTTTTCGAAAAATTTGAATTTCTCACTATGCCCCGTACGTAATCGTCATCATCATGACCACATCAGTCTCGTCATCGTTTCTTTACAGATAAGCGTCACCTCTCCTGAGCGATGATGTTAATTCACACCAACCACTTCCAATTCAGACATGGCTTCAACTTCATGAGAGAATTCAGGCAAAAAGTGCACACTGTTGATGTAGAAATTAGCACCAAGGTGCAAAACAGTCTCACATTCCTCTCTACCTTCCTCCGTCCTTATTGTGCAAGAAAAACAATCTTATCGTCACTTCACGTCATCCTCCTCCTCACACCAAATTCCATGTTCAAAAATTTTCTTAAGAGTCAAATTAGAGCCTTATTTTTTTGCAAGGGTGAGTGCCAGGAAAACAGTATTTTTTTTCACCACAAATCTCCACCACCACCACCTCGTCACCCACCACAAGCAGAACTACTTATGAATAATATCTCGATCTTCGATGCGACAGTGACAATGTGGAAACGTGACGTGGAACGACTTGTTCCAAAAACTCACTCGAAGAAGGATGGGTACCCAACCCACAGGAACTTGAGCCACCCAAATGAGAAAGTTTCTTCTTAAGAGGGACGAGAAGAAGAAGCTTCTGGCCCGACTTGTGTATCAACATCAAGTGGCAGCCGGGTAGTGGAGAGAGGGCAAAGATAAGTAGGAAAGGGCCAGAGGCTCTGCTCCCACCAAAGTCTAGGAATAGAAAACCCGGGTAGTAGCAGATCCACCGGGGCTTCTGCTCCTTCTTCTTGAGCATTCCACTAACACGGTCTGATTTCGAGTGAAAGTCTCCCTCCCATCACGACACAATGGAAGAGAGCAGCAGCTACAGAAATGGATGGATGAGATCACCACCTCGGGTGAAGCACAAGACAAGGACGACAACTTTCTTTACGCTAACGGACTAACAAGGCAGTAAGTAGTGGAGGAGAAGAGAAAGTAAAGTGGAGGCAGGAGGACAGACTTGCTTTTATACCTGTCATCCCGATTTTACTTTTTTTATACAGAAATCCGACAGATTAGAGTAGTGGGGACAATCCACTCTTATGACGACTTACAGATATTCCCTCCAGCAGCAGACACACAACGTAGGTACACAAAAGGTTGGCAAAAATGGTCAATTCATTCGCCACAATTCGCACAAGCAGACAGGAAATGATTTCAAATTACGAGAATATAATGCCAGAAACTCGTCATACTTTCACAAAATTTAATAAATTCTCATCTCACAATTTATTATTGACATTGACCGGAAATGACTTCAAATTACTTCCACTCTAACATTTTCTTGGAGAACAAACACAGCCTTCTTCTTCCCTGCACTCATATCTGAGACTAAAAAGTAGTGACAACCTACAAATTCCGATAAGTTAAACCCGGGAACAATATCCGGTCACTGGACGCATTAAGGGATATCGGATCGTATCCTAAACCAGGAAGCCACCACCACCATCCACACTTTGCTTTCCAGCAGAAAAGACAATGTCCAGTGACACTAACAGCTAAAAAGCGTCCGCTCAGCTTTTTATCTCAAATTGGTTTTCACTTTCACTTTACTCTTCTAAATAGAATATCTGTATTCCGTCCTCCTCCTCGCCTCACATGAAATATAGAAATCCTCTCCGCATTATTTCTCTAATAATCATATCGCACCAAAGGCAAAGCAAAAAGACAAAATCTATCCGATAAAGGAATATGAATCCCACTTGGCCACTTTATATGTGACTCTCCAACACACTCACAAATCCTCAAAATCACGACGACAAAAAACCAACAAGGACAAAAAAAATTCTTTCATCCCTGGTCTTTTCAATCCGGGGGACAAACTAGTTATAAAAATTCCCTCCTTAAATAAACCCCTCCTGACCACATCCTGTAGGTAAAGGGAGAAAAAAATCCAAAATCCAAATCCCGGAAGGAAATCCAATCCTTTTTGAAAAATGGGTCCAATAAAAGGTCTCGAAATAAGGAAGGATCACACACACGCAGAGACAAAATCAGCCAAGGATAACGAACCTGTGTGTGTCTCTCACCCCAAAAACTAACCGGGTATCATCATCATCCTCTTTCCCGTCATGCAGAACAAATACATACATACAAATAAAATCCATCTCATCTAAAACAATTCGACGGACCTCACCTCGTCGTCGTTTAGGTGAGGTTTTGTTATTATGTGATGTGGTCGCGTCTCTGACACGTCAACTCGACAACAAAACAACACGGGTCTACTTTTGAGATTCAAGTGCTTCCATTCGCATTTACGAAGAAGAAGAAGAACTACAAAGTAAAAGCGGTCCTGGTGAGACTTTCCCATCCACGACTGCTCCTCCTCCGTGCTTTGTTGTGTGTTTAGAGAATTGGGATTATTTCACGGGGGTTGGTTAAGCCTTTAAAGCACGCGAGATTTATGAACTTGGTCGGCAGAGGAAACTAATTTAGCTGGCAAAACACATATCTACCAATCTTTTCTCCGTCGTGTTGGGCCAGATACACCCATAATTTCGAAATTTGAATCTTCAATCAGTTCCTACTACATCACTTAAGCCAACTTAATACACGTTGCTCTTCATTCCATCGTATCGTGCTCCAGATTATTTCCTGTTGTCAGACAGCATTTATGTATATTTACCAAGGCGAAACGATGGGGTCCATCTCACGAGGAGAGAAAGTGGGTGTGCAAGACTCGTTAAATCTTTTATTCATAATCAAATTAGGTCTCTCAAACTCTACACTAAAACCTAATTTCGCAAGGATTTCATCCCACTTACATCGCTCGAAGAGTGTGTATGTAAAACAAAGGAAAACTATTTATGACTTGAGTGAGAGAAGTTGTTTGTTCCAACAAAATGACTAAATATGAATATGATGATGATTTCAGGCTCGCATTTCAATTAAAAACGTCGCCACTCGCTGGGTCATAAATAACATTCATTCCTTCCTACGAATCTCCATTATTTTACGAGGACAACGACACCACGCGATGATTGAGTGATTACCTACATGAAAGCCCCATTTGTTAAATAAATCGTTGAATGATTGCTTTCTCTCTGTTATTTTCCCCCAGTCAGTAAAATTGGAACTTTTCCAAAAAAAATCTCAGTCCTACAATGGTCATACATTCGTACAAATCACATACATGCGATGAGAAACTTCTCACTTCTTTCACTTTACAAACAAACAAATCGCTGTTTTTCCACTTTGTGTGTTCCTACACAGGCCGACTTTTACCTAGGCATTTTCCCTCGTAGGACAGAACAGAGTGTCCATCCGCCTACTTGGTTTGGTGGGGCGGAAGGGAAGGATAAATTATCACTATTTCCACTTTCTCCTCTCTCTACTACATACCTCATGGCAAGAACAACTCGCACTTTTAACGAAACCAATCCGAATCTCCTCAATCTTCAATTAGCTCCGGCACGAAATTCCCATTCCCACGCAAACCTAGTAAAGAATGGGACACACACACAACAACCAAACCAAACAGATAAGATAGATTAGATGGAAAAACAGACACAACACGAAACAACAAGAATAGAGGGGAGAAAGCATCATGAGTCTTTTTTTTACTATTTTATTTTTTTTATACATTTCTCTCGTAAAAGAAGAGCCTCTTTTTTTATGGGGATATCATTCCAGTGGTAAGTACATATCTACGTTACGTATGTAAATTCATGCCTACAGATGTACTTGACCCGGCAAAAATACAGACAAAGTGTTACGAAATGAAAATGGAGTTACGACACTAAACTGAACTCGATAAATATGAGGAGACCGACCAAAGAAGAATATTTAACTTGAGTAAAAGTAACGAGGGGAGAGAAATAAATGACAAGAGATGATAAGGACGACACGACTGCTGCTCCTGGACTGGAGGTCTATTGTTATTCGTAATGGACATTGGTCACGAAACTTGGGAATGATGATGGGGCCGGGAAAGGGAATTGGAATTTTCAACTAGTTTGACATTATGGAAGTTTAGCCAATTATTTTATGTACCAGCAGCCCAATTACGCCTGGGACGAGAGAGTGTGTGTACTTATCAGCGATGTTGATGATGATGAAGTAGTGGATGGATGGTAAATATTATGTGCTTATCGTTATATGTGGTGGGAGATAAATGTTGTATTAATTTCATAACGGCGGCATGCCATCCATCCATCTCGGTTTGACAGGACACGCGGATATTTATTATTAATAGAGAATGATCTACCGGGTTCGTGGTGGGATATTATCTTTCCAGCATAAAACAAAGAATTAATTAACTAATTGCGAGAAATTAAATTATGAGATAACGATCGAGTAGGGGTTTTGTGCTAAAAAGGTAAGGGTAAAATTGATCCCAAATAGACCAATCTTATGATCATTTGTCGTATTATTAATTTAATATGCGATTCGTTTTAGACATGAGGCTTGTTTTCTAATGAATTAAAGATGATACATTTAAGTAGCGGTGAAAGTTCCTTTAATTTTAATGTAGTAATGTCCAGCAATCGCGTATAGATGCATACATTTTTAATCTATTGGTCTCAATATTTTGTCTTGAAACGCCAAATTTTTGTATTCGGCGTGCAAATTGTACACGCACAATTAACACTTTCTCTTTCTCTTATACAACATGAAGAATGCTCTCCCAATAAATAAATGCTACAAAATGTAGATACAATAATTTAATTACAGCTAATTAACAATTAAAAGTTGCTCACCCACTCATCTTGACTTGATTGATCTTCAGGGGAAGTTGAAATTAATATTTAAAGTGAAAGTGTGACCAGAATATCGCTACACAACTTTGCTTTCACTTTATATACCAAATAAATATTAGGAGCCGGATAATTTAGTAAAACTTTCAGATTCAAAATCCCCGTGTGTTGCCCCGTGTGTTACTCTTTAACATCTTCCTCTAAAAAACGATGTTTTTAAATTGCTTTCAAAAATAGGCTGTTTTACTAAATTCCACGTCTATAATAATTTGTTGCAATTTTATTTATGTCGAATTAAACAGATGCGAGTATAGGCAGTTACCGGAGAAAATTTGAGTAGTCGGCCTCTCGCAGCTTTTAGTCTCATACATATTCCTTCATGCATATGACGGGAAAAAAGATAAGTGCTGATAAGTCTTTATTGTTTCCTTGTGTCCTTTGTGTTTCATCAACTTTCATTTTATTATACATAGCAGACCTCTGCTGAGTGCTTGCAAATTCTTAATTAATTGCGTCATAACTTAAGTTATTTATTTGCTACAGTCTTTATTATTAAAGCGAGGTAGATTGAGACAAAATCGACGAAATAACAAAATATTGAGATTAATTCTCATTCTCCCATATAAATTATCATCACCTTTGCGCCACATGTTTCTCCAAATGAGTCCGCACCTCCATGGGGGACATGTTCTTATCAAACTCCTGCAAACAGTAGGGACAACTCATTCCCGGCCGTGTCGTCAAGTCGACCCCACCTCCATCCGCTGAACGAGGTCGTTGCGCCGTCAATTGGTACGAAGAATAAATCGCTATCCCATCGTCCTGACTTCTCGTCGCAAGTGGGAGTGGTGATAAACGGTCGGAGGGTCGATTGTTATAGCTCGACTTGCATCGCATCTGCTGTTTTTTGTTGACCACTGGTCGGGTGGTCACGATGGGAGATGGATGTCCTCCACCTCCTCCTCGCGGTGATGGGGACAATACTGCAAGAATTGGTGACGATGACGACTTTTCTTTAGGTCGACATTGTTGCTGTGGGATTGGGGTGATTGCCGTCGCGAACATAATCGTATTACCAAGTGGGCTGATCGGTCTATTATTATTGCTAGAATTGGCAGCAGGTTGAGATCTCGTCGTCCTGCCAGAACCACTACTTGCATTGTCCGAACGTGGCCTTGTCTTCGTTGTTCTCTTTGTCGTTGTCGGGACAAGGGTCGGGATCGGAAATAAGGCTTTTATATTCTCACAATTCTCTAAAGAACCACCGGAAGTTGATTTTGTCGTCACAACCTTATTATTATCGCTTGGTTGGATGGTAGGAAGTAGTAAACAGAGCCTGTTTTGTGGTCCAGTGGAAGCAATTGGTTGATTCGTTCTTAAAAGTTTGGCATCAATCTTGGCCGACTTGGAAATATTACGATTTTTCTTCTTCAAAGGAATATTCAAATTGTCCGGATCACTATTTCTTGGCGATTTTCGACCAGTAGTAATGGTCACGTCTTCTCCACCGTCTTGTTCCCCACTCGAACAAACTTTCCCACCGGCACTGATGCTCCTAAATAAATAATTGAGATCAAAAACACTTCGATTCATCGCGTCGTCATCACAAGTCAGAAATCGTAGATTGTCTCTCGTGTAAAAAAAATCTGTTCAAAAGTTGATTCTTCCAACCTCGGCGGGGTTGTTGGCTGCTGGATAGAAATCGTTCTCTGTCCCCGAAGTTGGAGTACCGCTGCTCCAATAAACTTTTCAAAGTCGAGAAGCTCAATCGAAGAAGGAGAAGACGCCGTTGGGCCGTTGGGACCAGAGGAATCATCACTGGAAGAGGAAACGTTACCACTTTTCGGTGGGGGAGCGGGTGGCGTCGGGGTCGTGAAACTAGGCCGGGGACTGACTCCGATATCACCCTCTTCTCCTCCACAATTACTCCAATCAGTCGTCGTCGTCGTCTCACCAACTTGAGTAGAATCAGAAGATCCACATTTCACAACGACGGGAATTCGACTTTTACATCTGTCCAAGATTTTTTCCACGATCCCACTCTCACTCAGGGAAATTGTCCGTGGAGATTTCGGGGACGATTTGTTGTCCTCTTTTTCTCCTCCTCCGCCTGCTGGAGTAAAAGATGTGTCACAAAAATTTGTCACATCTGCCATTACATAACATTTTCCTGGATACATACTTTCATCCTGTGGACCCACCTCGTGGGAATTTCTCAACGCGTAGAACACGTCGGGATGACGGGAACACGTTGTTTCGAGGAGAGTCGTGATTTCAGCGAGATCTGATGATTCAGAAGGAGAAGGATTTGTCATCGATGACACGGTCACTCTGGTGGGAGGGGATTCTTCCTCTTTCGGTGGAATTACTAAATTCTAAAAAACAAAAATTTTCAAAATTTTGAAAATCGTTCAAAATTTGATTTATAAAAAATTCTACATATATACTTTTGCGTGAGTTTCTGCCAACTGCTGTGCCAAGGTTTGAATCGCCTTCTCCTGATTTCCAATGATCGCCTTGTAATAAAACTCGTTCCCCCAGATCCGTTTAACTCTTGGTTTCTGTTGTGACGAGTCGTCGACTGACCGACAACCGCCCTTCATCTCGAGGAGATATTCGCCCTTGCAGTTCGCCAGGTCGACCACCATCCCGTTCTGGTCCGTTATTGAAGTGTACCCTTTCACGTTTAAGGTGTAGAGGAGATTTCGAACAAATCGCATGTCTCTGTCATGCACGACCTGCTTCCTTTCCAGGTCGGTGCGAACCCTGTCGAGAATCGCGGTCAGGTGGACGATCCTGTTTTGGAGGAGGGGCACTTGCTGTGACGCCAAGGGAGGAAGATTCGCACTCGCCCAGGGATTCGATTTCACGGGGGATGGTGGCGACGCATCTTCAGGGGGTGAAAACTGAGGAGAAACAATGGGACCAATTCGCCGAGGGGAGGAGATCGGAATGGAGGATGGTTTCGGCGTAGTTGATGAGGGTGAACATTTTGAAACCGATTTCGGACAAGTGGTTTCGTTAGGGAGCATTATTATTATTCGGTTAATTAATTATGACTATTAAATTACTCTAATTGAGACTAAAAATCCTCTTATCACACTGAAAATCTGGCTAAAAATCGTACAAAAATTGATACTGAGACGACCCACGATTGCTTGACTTTAAGTATCTAGGTAACGTTAGTCTCCCTTAAGGGTAACTAGGCACTAAAAGTCAAGCAATCGTGGAGACGACCACATTTTGTCGTAGTCGTCTCGTTTCGTTGTTGTCTTGCACACAATAAATTGAGACTTTTGGAGGAGGCAAGTTGAGACAATATCAAGTTTTTCGTCGTCTCAGTCTGCCTCGTCACAAGCAATATTCTCACAACCGGAAGTGGAACGACCATCTCGCGGCGATAGACGACATCACCTGCCTTCATGCATGTTTGTTTGCCAAGAGAAGTGAGCGGAACCTGCACCACACAAAGCAAATTGGTTCCTAAAAAAATTTATAATATTTAATTATTCTTGATAAGTCTACTAGTTTAATAGTAATATTTAAGGGTTATCAGTAGTCAGTAATAGTCGTGAGTGATATAAATTCTTTGTGAAGTTGAATTTATAATAATTACGGCAAGAACCCGAAAGAAACAGTGCACAGTACAAAAGGAATTACTGAAAAACGTTGCCCTTGATTGATTAATTTGTGGCAGTTTGTGCATGTCAAAGTAAGATAAGTTACTTATCATCGTCATAATTAATAATTCGTCGTCGGGTTAGCAGTAATTGTTTCGTACGGGTGTGACTAAATAATAAATGAAATTGTAGGCTCGTCAACGGAGATGAACAAGTTCGATAAGAACGACTGAATAATTAAAGTTGAGTGCTGTGCTGTGATTATCAAGGAATCAGTCAGTGCAGGGCAGCGATAGGATCAACTTTAAGGTAAGTGTGTAAATGTATTTTAATTGCTTAAAATTAAATGTCGCTAATTTAATGTAATGTGATTGATTCCAAAAATTTCACACCAAAAAAATCCACCATATTTCTTGTACAGATCTCATCATCTCCTTTATGTCATCCGATTCCGACTCGTCTTCGTCCTCCACCTCCGTGGGCAAAGTTCCCCTCCCTTCGACCTCGCCACCTCCACGAATCGACGACATGTCTCAAATCCCCATCCCAGACGCACCTCACCCGCTGGACGAAATCCCAATTCCGTTCAACACGGGGATTAAGAATCTTCAAGATGAAATCCCCCTTCCACCAGATTATCCTGACTCGTCGAGATATTCTCCATCTCAAGCCGCCGCGGAGGATGAGTTGATAACCTCACCCGGCCAGTGCGAACTCGTTAGCAGCACGGCGACCAAACTAAGCGCTCCTGGCGAAACTCCCGACGTTGTTGTTACCTCTTCCTCCCCAAAAGCTGTGCAAGGGCCAGCTTCCACGAAGTCTTCGTCTTCGTCCTCCTCCGTCACAAAAGTGTTGGACAGAGCGCAAGCTAAAAAGAGATTGATGGCATTTTCCGCTGCGAAATTACAAGCCGTGTCTACCTCGTCGTCCTCCTCTCGAAAAGGAAACGTGCTGAAAGGCATCAGTGTTTTCAACCCGAAGGAAAAGAAGCAACAAAGTAGTAGTCAAATGAATATTGAAGCTATTCGTGAAGATGATACCAAAATTAAGGAAATTATTGCGGTCAACAAGATTTTAAGTGATAAATTAAAGCAGGTCAACTCTATAACGAACAATATTCCTAAATCGGAAACTGAAGGACCGCAACCTCTAATGGGATTGGCGATTACGAACCCAATCACTGAAAATATGGCAGCTATCCCTCCCCTCATGCCAATTAGTGAGCCCACAGTGTCTGAAAGTACGCCGAGTTCGTCCCCAGCAGTTATGAAGCCACCCTCACTAATGGGGGCGTCTCGTCATTTAAGAAAGAGATCGATAAGCCATTCTCCCAGCCCTGGGCCGACATCGAGACGGTCACGTTCCCGAGATAGAGATAGTCGTCGTAGGAAAAGTAGTAAGGAGCGTGATCACCACCACGAAAGGTCGAGTCGACGCGATGATAAGAGACGAAGTAGGTCACCACCTCATAGCAGTAGTAGTCGCGGCAGAAAGTCTCGCTCTCCCGGAAGGGGGAGACGAATTAGTCGTTCCAAATCCCCAATTGTCCTCATACGCAGAAGTATTTCTCCTCCCCATCCAAAACATTCGTCGTCGTCATCATCAAAACGGCACGAAAAATCGCCCAGAATTTCATCCAAGGAGAAAAATAAGGACGGAAAAAGTCTGAGCAGGAGTAAATCGCCTCCCACACATCACAAGGACAGCAGATGGACGACAACAATTCGTAAATATAGTACAAGCAAGTCAAAGTCGCGAAGTGTGAGCCCCCCACCACCCGTTGTGAAACTCTCCTCCTCCACTAAGCGTGTCTCTTTGTCGAGAAGCAAATCAAGATCAAAATCGCCCCTACCTCCAACTCCACAAAAAAAGTCATCCCGGAAATCTCGTTCCAAATCCAAAAGCCCAAAATCATCGAAAAGTAAGGACAAGAGTAGCAAAAGCCGGTCCAAGAAATCCAAGCGATCTCGCTCTCGCGACAGGGAAGAGAAGAAGCGTCGCGACGAAAGCAAAGAACGTCGGAAGGAGGCGGAACGTATAGAAATGGAGAGGAAAGCGGTGGAAAAGGAGTTGGATAAGGTTCGTTTGGTGAGAATGCCGACTGATTGGACGGAATATTTCAAGTTCCAATATACACCACATCATATTAAAGACCTACATTTGAGGTTGATGGCGGCCAATGCGGAGAAAAAGACATCTCGGTAAGTACTAAAATAATTATGTAATTTATTTGTAAAAAAAAGTGGAGTCTATTCTTGCAACGTAAAAATTATTAGGTTCACATATTTATTTCCTTCATTTTACTAATTAATTTAGTGTCAAGACTCACAAAAGCTCAGACTCTGAATCGAGATCGACCTCCCCCTCGCCAAACCGTACCACTGATTTTAGTAAAGCATTAACTAAACCACCCGTGGGCAGTCCCACATTTTATCTCAATACTGGCACGGCCTACCCAGTCTTTCTCGTCCAGCGGACCAAGCATCCTCCTCCCATCTCCTTCGGTGTGAATCCTCACTCCTTTGCGGGTTATTATAAAACTAGGAAGGATATTCTGGAAGTTGAGGATCCAGAAATTTGTGCCATTATGAGCGAAATTTTCAAAGCGATGCCATCTCCTCCTCCAACCAAGAAGGAATCTACATCAAAATCGACTAAGCAGGAATGGTTTGCTGCGACGGAAGCGGCATTCTGTCCTCCGGAGGGCAAGAAACCTCGCGGCGTGACAATGTCCCACTTGTATTCGGACGAAGAACTAGAGGACGACTCTTCTCCATCAACTAGACGACCTCCAGACACTCCGTCACCGATTCGTACTACTACCACGACGAGTAAACCTGCGCGAAAACCTTCTCCAGAAATTAAAAAGAAAGTGGAAATGGAATCATCCGAAGAGCCAGAACACGATTCGCTCGACTCTGCTCCATCCCCCCTCTTGAAGAAGAGATATATAGAACCCAGCCCGGTGAGACCTGTGGGGAAGAAAGTTTCTGAAAAACGGGCCAGTGGTGGTGGTGGTGCCGACGAGAGGCCACGAGGACGGGCTCGCAGCAGTAGTGAAGAGAGTGATAATAGTGCTAAAATTCGCCCAAAAGCGAAGGGCGTTGTAAAAGGAAAAGTGAAATCGCCCGAGTCTGACGTTTATGAAATGGACACGGAAGAATTTCCCATCGAGAAGGAGGATCATCATCCACCCGTCGTGGTCAACTTGCCTCCCGTTCATCCAGTGGTGGCAAAATCGGAAGGAAAGACGAAGGAGAAAAAGGTCAAGAAACAGAAGAAGACAAAGAAGAAGAAGAGTAAGAAACATTCAAGCGATGACGACAGTTCTAATGACGACGATGACGATAAAGATGTCAAGAAGAGTGCAAAGAAAGTGAGTGAAGTGAAAGTAGATTCTTCTTCAAGAGTGAAAGTTGTGGGTGAGAAAGACAAAGAAAAACGAGAAAGTCGGCATCGAAAAAAGTCAAAGTCTGACAAAGACAAGAAACGTAAGCATTCCGAGGATTCTGAAAGTGGTGGAAATACTTCATCCTCTGCGATTGAGATTTTAGAGGTGATCAGACAAGATGCTAAACAAGAGAGGAAAAAGATCAAAATCATCCCACCGACGGAGCTGCGTTTCGTGCCTGACATTGTCGTCCTTCCTGTTCCTACTCCTCCCGTGGCTTCTTCTGCTAGTAAGATAAGTAGTAAAGATAAGGTCAAGACTGATAAACCTGTTAAGCTCATCCCCCCAACCCCAGAGAAAGAGAAGGATATCGTCAAGGTGGAGAAAGATGACAGGAAAAAAGCAAAGAAATCAAAACACCAACGTGGCGAAGACCCAGCCATTGCAGCGACAAAGTCATCAAAATCATCCTCTAAACACAAACGAAAACACGACTCGAAAAAGAACAAAGGTCGCTCGCCCTCCAGTTCTTCAAACAGCTCGGATTCTGAGGAGGATTCTTCATCATCTTCCTCCTCCTCTTCTGATGATGATGATGCCCACCACTCCTCCAACTCTGACACTTCTACCGACAAGAAGAAAAAACAACTCATCCGCCGTGCGGAAAGGAAACAGCAAAAGAAAGATAAGCGCAAACTTGTCAAAAAATTGTCATCATCATCAAAGAATAAACGTAGTAAGAGCACAAGTTCCGGTTCGGACGGGGAAACGGACGAGAAATTAAAAGAAAAGCAGAAAAAAGATAAAAAGGACGACAAGGACAAAGATAAGAAAGATAAAGACAATGACCATGATAAGCGTGGCGGCGGTGGTGGAGGAAGTCGAAGAGACGATCGTGGAGGTGACCGAGGCGGTGGTGCAAGTGGGGACAGAAATCGTCACAGGAGAGATAGTGATCGCGGCCGCGATAGGAAAAGTGATCGAGACCGAGATCACAAATCTGGAGGTGGGAGTCGAAGTCGACACGATTCCGACAGAGGAGGAGGAGGCCGACGTCGTGACGGATTTCATTTCGAGGACGAAGATTGGGAAGAGTACTCCCTCCCCGAACTTGTCCTCAAAACACACAACATTGTTAAAGACGAGACCTTCATTGTGCACAACATGAAAGAGAAAGTTGACCCCGATCAGCAGCAAACAATGGTTGCGCACAATATCCTTACACAATTCGACAACGATCCTTTCCTCCAATCTGTTCTGCAAAATAAGGATAAGGATTTGAGTGCAGAAGCCCTCTTAAAAAATATTATCGACGCTAATAAAAGTGACGATCATTTTTCCGTCAGCACATCCGGGATTGGGTCTTCTAATTGGAGTGACGATTCCGAAGATGACGGGGCGAGGATTACGACCACATCAAGCATTAAACTGGAGGAAAATATTGAGGTGAAGAAAATAGAAGAAATTGACAAATCCACGATTAATGCTGCTTCTCCTTCACTCGCCTCCATTCTTAAAGAAGACTTGACAAAGTTTGACATGTCCGACCTTCTCAAGAAAGCAGCCAGTCAAGCTGGTGAACGTCCACCCATTTTCGAACCACTTGCGACTTCTGCCGGCGAGAAACTTTTCCTTGTCGACTCTGCCTCCACTGATTCAGATTCGAGCGACTCTGGGGACGATTCGTCATCTTCAACATCAACGTCGTCCTCGTCGTCATCGAGTTCTTCAAGTTCCTCAGAAGCTAGTGGAGAAGGAGAGAAAAAAGTTGTTCCTCCCACTGGTGGCGAAGCTGTTCCCCCGAGTACAAATTCTTTTGACGATGTCATGTCTCAAATTGCAGCCGAAAGTAAATCAACGGACGAAATACTGACAAAAGTTACTTCTGGAGAATTCAATAAACCTGGCAGCGTCGTCTCAATGGAGGAGGATAAACGAAAAGGAAGTAGTGGTGACAAGGCGGGCGCCTCAAACATCAGCATTAATAGGGACCGTCGACCAAGAGACGATTCTAGGGATAGTCGTCACCGTTACAATTCACCCCCCAGTTTGTCATCCCGGTACGATCGCTACCGGTCATCATCATCATCTTCGCACCGGTATCGTGAAGACGAACGAGTCGAACGTGACCCCCGCGCCAGAGAAATGCTTCATCGAGACGACCGGCGTCGAGGGAGACGACACCACCGGTCTCGTTCCTACAGTAGATCAAGATCTCGAAGTGGGTCAAGGTCGAGGTCAAGATCACCCACTACCGGGTTACGTTATCGTCGTTCCCGTCCCACTGAGAGATCGTCGTCCAAGTATCACGACGACTATCGAGATCGAGATCGAGGCGAGGATCGGGAAGGGAGGCGGTATTACGGACCGGAAAAGGAAGGCGGCGAAGGCGAAGCAGTTCTTCGTGATCGTGAACGATACTATTCAAAGGAGCGAGGAGGACGATATGATGACCGCGACAGAGATTTTAAAGATCGCCGCGACCATCGTGACTGGGGCGAATATCCGGATGATGATTATCACAGTAAGCATCACCACTATCATAATAACCATCGCTATCATCATCACCACCACCACGGAGGTCACCACGATGGACCCCTTGACCAGCAGTACTCCTCTCCTCCGCTACAATCCAATGTTGCCGACTCTACAATTAGTGACGCCGAGTTGGCCGCTAACAACCAGATGGGTCTCATAATGCCACAATTTCCTGCAAATGAAAGTCATCATTTCGTCGAAGTTGGGAAATCATTCCCGCCCATGTTCCAGTATCCTATGCCGTTTCCGCCGCCACCCATGGCGGCCGGTCAAGGAGGAGAGGGTCACGTGCCGCTAGACTATGATCTCTCTGGACTTGGGGATGGACTTGGTGGTACTTCCTCTTATGGGGACAGTTCACCGCCGAGACGACTCTCGCTAGACGAAAGGCTCGAGAGGGAAATGGGAATCAAAATGGACCGTCCTAAGATCCCGTTGGCTCCGGCTTTTAGTCCACACGTGAGTAAAGTAAATAATTTGCAATTAATTATTTTATTTATTATTGTGTAGTTTGCCCAAGTAAGTTATGATCTTTGACATGCATGATTTTTGATATGTTGCAATGTTATTATTGCAGGGTCCATATTATCAGGGCAGCCAATTTCAACCAAGTGGTAGTCAGAGGTCAAACCTAATTCCTATCGTGGATCCAGCCGCTTCCATATTTCCCCCGTATTGGAAAGAAGCCAAGGCCCCAGCGCCGGTCAACCCTCTCGCCGAGTTGGCATCAAACTTGTCCATCCACCAACAGCGACAGCAGTGTCAAATCGTTCAGGTATGAAGAGTAGTAAAAATATTTAATTTTGAGAATAATTAAGGTTGAAATGATTTGAAAAGGGAAACTGATTAATAATAATTCATGATCTGATTTGTTATTTTATTTCCAGAAAGGAAACGTCCTCCAAGTTATGCCCACCGCCATTCCGAACGGCTCCTTCACCATCCACGCCAGAGTCGAGGTCACTTCTAACAATGGAGATGAAATGGTACTTGATTCCTCCAACGATGATAACATTGCGTTGTTTGACTAACTTTTAATAATTTTGTGAATCTTTACCTTACTTATCCTTCTCCATAAATTGCAGGGATCTGTTGCTGCCAAACGGGTGGTCATCATTAAAGTCCCCGTCGTTCCATTCGCCATGCCTGTAGCACTTCCTCCAACGGAAGAATCCCTTGCTCCACCTCCTCAACATCGAATCAAAAAGAAGCGAAAGTCCAAGAAACTCAAGAAAAGTGTAAGTGCTAATTTCAGTTTTTGTTTCAAGTTTTAACCATAATGCTTCGTTTTTGACAATCGTGAAAATGTGTGTTTAACAAGTTTTACAAGCAAAAATGTATCAATTTGCCCCACTTTAATGTAATTTATTCTAACTTGTTTAGGTCGTTATTGAGGAAAAACCGGAAATAATAACGGAAACAACGACACCACTGGAGACAAAAACTGGAAATGAGGACTTGAAAAATGACGACAAAATTACCAAGGTATTGCTCCCACTACTACTAAAACTACTATCTCATCACCATGTTGTTGTTCTCTCCGTCACATTATTATTATTACACTAGATAATCTCAACCACCACCTGCTTGTCTTGGTACTTAACATACTTTGTCATGTCGCGGTGTTGTTATCAAGTCGAGGTGGTCATGTAATGATAACCCGGCAAACGCAAAAGACTCAATGCTCGAGAGACTGTGAGCTTGCAAAAGGATTGACTGAATACTGAATTGTGGTATTGATGATGGACTGAGAAAAAGAAATGGATTAAAACTAACTACTGGTCAGAAGATACGCTGGATTCAAGATTTTATAATGAATCGACTAAATTAATTTAAAAGACTAGACGAAAAATTTAGACTCCTTTTTTGGGTGATATATATTAGTAGTAGACAAAGATGATATGATGTGATTAGTAGTACTTTACTTTGTGAAGAGATTTTGTTTTCATTATTTGATATTCTTGTTCTTGGTCTGTGTCTCTTTTTGTGTAAAAAATATTATATCAGGGCACAAAAAATATCTAATTCATAAACATTTCTACTATGTAATTACATACATAGTTTTGAATAAAACTATCTGAATATTCATTACGAAAAGTTGGGTTTCATATTATGTTGGGATTTTACGAGTAAAAATTCATGGCACAATTTTTCCATCCGCATTGCAACATTGCATATTTTCCGCATTATTTTTCCACTCGGTGGCATTTTTCATTTCCTCGCTCAAGAAATTGCATACTGTTTAAAAATTAGATTTGCACAAAGTTTTAAGCAAGCGACAAGCAGTTGGTGGTTGGTTGAGTTTATTAGGAAAATGTGCACAATTCTTGTACAACGAAGTATGTAGTTCCTGGTAAATTGATTGAATTGCTTATTACATTTTATTTTCTCATTTCACAGGAACTCGTGGCTTCATCGCCAAATAACAATTATGCAGAGGGGACGAGCGGAGTGGATAAAGTGCAAGGCCAAGAAGACGGTGAAATCAAGAAGAATGATGTTGAAAGCATGCATGTTGAAGAAGGTGAAAGTGGTGCTGGCTCGTCGAGTAGTGTGGATGAAGAGGAGAAATCCGAGAAATTGAGCTCTTCCGTCGTGCCTGCAGATTGTCCTGATGCTACCACCACCACCACTGCTATAGCAGAAAGTGAGAAGAAAGAGGAACAACACGATGATAAATCTTCACCCCCTTCTTCCGACCAAGTCAAAGATGTTCTTGGCCTTGTTACTACTCCTCCTAATGAGGAGGTGGGTGGAGTGGAACCGTCTCCACCCACGGATGAGGATGAGATACCATTAGAAGAACAAAAGTCATTCACTGTGATATTTCCACTTCCTGAGGCAGGAAAGGGAATCTTGGTTTCGGCCGGGTTCAGGTAATTAATTTGTCATGTTTACCTAAAAAATTAACGATGCCTTGATTTTGATTAATTACTTATTTCCTTTCTACTAATTTTACAGAAATAAGATAATCGATGGGCCTAAAAAGACTCGAAAAGGTGTCAAATTCGCTGATGGGGTGAATCCCGGTTACGGCACGGAATCCTCTGATGGAGAAGAGATGCGCTCTCCTCCACCCCCTTCGATCATCGAAATGGAAAAACTCAAGCTCAAAAAGCTCAAGAGAAAGCGAGACCGGGCGAAACGGAAACGGATCGCGAAGGAGAAAGCAGCCGCTGAAATTGATCCCAACTTCGTTCCGCCTCAACCAAGTGCCCCATTTCCCTTCTGTCATCCGGGAATACTTTACCAAGTCTGTCCCCAATATGCCGGTGAGTAACGACGGCGGGTTAATCTTTCTCATCCATTTTTAAATAACAATGAAACAATGACAATCTTTTTTCCTCTCTCTCTTTTCAGTTCTCTACGCTCAAGCTCTTGCCGAAAAAGGATTTGAAATCGTGTTCGAAGGTACACATCAAATCGACCAGCTTCCCGGAAGTGTTCCCATCGAATGTCCTCCTCCTTCTGGTGACAATAATGATGTAAAATTAGACGAAAAAAATAATCACCCCAAATCTGATATTGATACTTCTTCCTCGTCATCATCATCTTCCATCACGACCATCGTGCAAGTGCACAAACCCACCATCAACGCGACTATTGATGCTTCAATCATCCTCGACCTACAATACCTCCAACCCATCGGAAACCCTAACCTAATCCAAATCACGGACAGTTTCGAACCCTCTAGTAAACCAAATGTGCTACAACCACCCCCATCAACCCCACCACTAAACATCATCACAACTCTGCCTCCAAGCTTGTCATCTCCCGTGAAAATAAGGTTCCCTTCTAGTAAAACTTCGCCACCACCACCACCACCAAACTTCATCCTTCCTAGAACGATGACAACTACGCCGCCACGAACTCCTCCCGTTTCTAGTACACCATCACCATCACCCACCAAAGAAACGGCAGGGTCGCCCATACCGATTCTAATTCGGAGAGCCAACCTCAGCCCACCGCCTGTGTTCCCGAGTGCGCTCGCAGAAACTGATTTGGAAGGAAATGCATTAAATTGACCAATTATTGTGTGCATAGGATAACACCATTTTCTCTTCATTTCTGTCCTATATTGTTCTTTTTTCTTTAAATGTTTCCAATTTTAGTTAGTTGCCCGTCGCATTAAACACGAATTTATAGGAACGATATGTTATACATATACATACATCACACTTAACTATGTATTATAATATGCAATTTGATATTGGAAAATAAATTTGTAGCAGTGATGAACTTGAATTTATAAAAAAGTCCTTTCTTTAATCCACATTGCATCTGGAGATTACCAAAATGTGAGCACAACTGCAGCGTGTTCTGGCAGTGACGCGGAGTATAAAACGGTTCCAACTTTCCTCAAATGAGATCAGTCTTGGTCGGATGCTCGTCGTTGAGAGAGATCATTTCATTCCCAGTTTCACTCGAAATTTTGAGAAAGTTGAGCCTTGAAAAAATCCACCCTGGTTTTACCACTGCTTATCCAACAGGCTGCTGGGTGGGTTATCGGCAAGTCTCATTCTTACCAAAATCAAATAATCCGTACCCTAAACCCCAAGAATATTCTACTTGAGGCAGTTTGAGACTTTATTTTATTACAAAATCTCATTAAAATTTATCATTAAAATTAATTGTTTCACTTTCTTTGGTAAAGTTTTTCAAGGGAAAACTGTGAAAATTAAGACGTTGCAAAAGTTAAGTTACATACTTTTAAGAGAAATACAAAGTTGTTGTTTCGCCACGTTCATTCTTCATCCCCGTGAGCGTCTTGTTCCTGTCAGCTTAAAAGTGTGTAGAGGATACGCAAAGTTTAAGGGATAAAAGTGGACGAAATTGCCATAATTATAGGATACAAGCATAGCGAACAACTTCCTCTTCAAGAACAATCACGTCTACATAAAGGACTAGTTGCACGACAAGAACAACAAAATTACGAGAGAGAGAAGCCGAGTCAAGTTGTAAGTCAATTAAGGCAAAAGTAGGTTACAATTCGCCACTAAATGCACTAAATGTCTGTCCGGTCGAGTAAAATTGATAATATACAGACAACTTGGTTATCTGTTTATCTGTAACATTGGATCAGATTAAGTCTACTTTTAGCCCAAATAATTCGATATATTGTGTCAGTCAGGTTATTAAAATGTTAGGAAATTTACGCATTTTGCGAGGATGCCATCAAACAAATCACTAATCTTAAAATAAATAATTGTACAAAAATAAATATGTACAATTTCACTGAATTATAAGTCAGGTTAAACCGAAGTGTGTATTTAAGAGATACATATTTTTGCATACATTTTATAGAGAAGCATTAATTCGCTTGGGTTAGACCGATTTTTACATAATTTGTATAGTTTTCATGTCATTTAAGAAAGATACTCGTAGTTAATTATTGTAAATTGAATAGCCAGATTAGGAGCTCCTTAGTTTGTAATACTTATTTTTTTATTAGTTTTATTTCGAAATAAATAGTTTGTAATACTTATTTTTTTATTAGTTTTATTTCGAAATAAATAGTTTGTAATACTTATTTTTTTATTAGTTTTATTTCGAAATAAATAGTTTGTAATACTTATTTTTTTATTAGTTTTATTTCGAAATAAATAGTTTGTAATACTTATTTTTTTATTAGTTTTATTTCGAAATAATTTTTTTCAAAAATTTTATAACGTTAGATGCATTAGTTGTAACGTTAGATTTGTCATTATAAAAATCAACAAATCAAAGTCGCGTATCTAAAACTCAATCTTTTACGAATTGTGGATTATCCTTTCCATTAAAAAAGTAAAATTGTCAAGAAACACATTGTTCAACAGATTTGCTAATTCTTCGTGCTTAATTTCTAATATAAAGGAATAAAAACCACTCTTTTAAGAACCATTACCACTGTGCGGTAACAATATTCTACCAAACTGGTGACCACTTTACTACCGCACACACTAGTAGACCGTCTACATATTTATTTAACAATATTATCCTGCACTTTGTCACGAAGTAAGGAAGGTCACCATCATTTTATTCCCCTCTGCAGCAAAATCTTGCACCAAAAGTGCATTTACTTATTATCACAGCCCACCACTAAATAAACTTCTCTCCTTAGCACAACTTCTCCATACAATGCCAGCTAACCCCCACTTTTTACTACTTTCACCTCCCCACTAAAATCCAGCTCCGCACTTTCTCCCCAGGCCACACTTTCACTCAGCCGGTCACACAAATATAACAAACTCAGATATAGATCACACTTTCAAAATTCAAAATGAGCACGACCCCCACCAACCAAAGTAAAGTCGAAACTCCGTCGTCACTGAAATGCTTTCCTCGTCGTCACACATTTACATTTGCAACTTTCCTCGTCAACACTAATTTACTTAACTTTCACTCTACTTTCTCTCTGTGTAGACTGTCCAGGCCGGAAAACTCCAACGAAAAGCCGTCTCCCCAACCAACAGAATAATCTGTATCTGACATTTGTATTGAAATTCGGAAAACTTTTACTCCTCAAAAAGTGCGATAATCAACAACTCATTTATGTAAACTATATATTATTCAAGTTGGGTGGGAAAAATATTATAAGTGAATTTCTCAACTATTTTGTGAACGAATATTATCCAACGGTTGACTTGATATTTTTCACGCGAAGGAAGGAAAATCCTGGAAAGATGGGAAATATGACGCTGAGAAATCTGATCCTCTCCACGTTCCTCATTTCGCAACTTACTTTCTGCAAAATCACGTGAGTCCAATTTATTTTTTATAGTTTAGTGGATCAATTTTTTTTACATGAGTGAGTGAGTGAGTAGATAGCAAATAATTTGGGCGTTATTATGATGAGAAATTTGTTGTAGGTAAAATAATGGGGATTTTCTTTATGGAGAAAGTATATCCATAAGTTGGGCGAAATTTGGGAGAGATTGAATAAGAAGGAGGATGGGGAAATATTTGGGAGAAATTGAGTCAAAGTTTAGAAGATCCAGGGTTTCCGTTACATTGAAAGTTTTCATGAAAACTTTTGTAACTGCGTAGAATTTAGAGGTTTGAATTAAAATTGCGTGTTGTCCATTTACTGTGAAATTTAGGGTGCAATTAAATACTTCATAATTCTAAAATTTTTGTGTACGACAGTTTTGTATAAAATTGATTCTTTACATCTAATTATTTCAATTATTATCGTAAAATCTACTTTTTTTATTGGATTTTGATTCTAGCGAACCTAATTCATTTCATTTAATTAAGTCAATTTTATCATTTATTAAAGGCGTTAAATCTCCTCCATTTTTTTTACTCAAAATATTTATTTACCGCCTACTTTACACATTTCCTGAAATGTAATTTTGAAAAATCGCCACAATCACGGTCAAATCTCCGATTAGCTAATTTTCACTCAACCTGGGAGAAAGTACAGAAACTCACACTTTCTCCCATTTCATGCATCATCCTAACCCACTAAAAATTCCACATTCTTACAAAATGTGCATAGATAACTTCATGTATGTATCCAATATATGTACAAACCTCCCTCCGACACAGATGCCCACCTACCTACCTTCATTACTTGTACCTTCTCCTCCCTGGAAAAAAACTCATTTATTTTATTCGAAAAAAATTGAAAAACTTGGATTCCGTTCATCCACCCAAGCATGCACGTCCACATCCACGTCCTTGAGGGAGGCCCACCCAGAGTAAAATGAACACCATGATTCGATTCAATTTGGTATTCGCATGCCAAGCAATTTTGTTCTTCACTCTTCTCACAGCACGAAAAATAATTTCAATGCGAAACAAATTGCGAAGGAAATATGCAGATAAAATTTTCTAAATCTAATCCACACAGGAGAGAGATTTGCAGTCAAAAATTGTTAATTTATTCTGTTCTGATGAGAAATAAATTGTCAGAAAAATGCCAATTTTGCACTGGCAAAAAAATGTCACTCGACACAACAAGTGGGATAAAACTGTGGAAGTGGAGAAAGTCGTTCAAGCGGAGAAAGCATCGTCGTCTCAACTTCATTATAATTTGACGGGAAAAAGCTGCTGCCTCGTCCATCTGGAAAAAATGGGGAAATACATACATAAAGAAGAATGTAAGAGTTGTGATCTATGCCAGATTCGTGTTTCTTATTCTCGAGGAGTGAAAGTGTTTTCCATATTTTTGCGATAGAAATAAGTTGACTCTTTCGCTCCACCAAACCACATTTTGTTTATCGGAGAGAGAGAGAAAGAAGGAAAGTGACATGGAAATTCATTGGTGGAATGGGAGAGAGAAATGTGAATATAAAAATGCGGCTGAATTAGCAACTTGCCAAATTTACGGGGTGATTTTTTTGGCTCTTGGAATTTCTCGGCGTGGAATGAATTTGACTTTCACTTTACCTAATACATTCTTTGGAGGGTATCTAACAATGTAGGTCCACCAACGTATACTCAAAGATTTTTATTAAATTAGTGTCAATAGATCACAAATTTAATTGGTGTGGAATTTGCAAATGGCAATTTCTGTCCGAAGAGGAGAAAATAAATTTGAATTGTGAAAAATTTGTCAACATTAGGTCGCGTTTTCTCCTCTTAGGATGCAAATGTCTCCGCGAAACTTGCCCATTGGCAGATGCTGCCTTTTCAACTTTAATATTTATTAAATTTGCGAAGGATTGAAACTAATTTAATAAGAATCTGTTAGAATACGTTCGGAGACCTCCATTGTAAGGACTTATCATATTTTTAGGGGTCATATGGCTTAAATTAATATAATTTGTGTGTTAATTTGGATTGAATGGTAATATTTTAAAATTCATCTTAATTATCATGGTAAACCCTAAAATTTTTAACGAACTATAGCGAATATTTACTAAAATCGTTCCAAATTACAATATCTAGGTACTCTACTACACAAACCTATCCAGTTAATTAAATTACCTAAAAATTCATAAATTCTAGGTACATATTTTTCAAACCATGAATTTCCTCCAATTCTCTCCTCTTCCCCTCTTACATAGTTGTCAAACCACTTAAATAAATTCCCACCCCTTTCCTCTCCTTTCCTCTAAATACTTTCTTTGCCCATTTCTCTCCTAAAGTGTTGTCGGTGTCGGTATTATTTTTCCCTTGTCTCAACATTGCCAAGAAGATCCTCGTCAGCCAACCAACAGTCCTGCTCCCACAGATAGTTAATCTAATCTAATAAATAAAATTTAAATGTGGTTTAAATCCACTAAACTCCCCTCACTCACTTTCGCCGCTTTCTCTCTTCCCATCCCATTTGTTTATTTAACACCACCGCAGCAGAAGCACTATTCGCAAAAACGTAAGTCGAGTGGTGGTGGTGGAAATGCGTCTCATACAATAAAATTTGTTCCGAAGAAGAAGAAGAAAGGCTTGAATTTGACGGGGTGAAAGAAGCAGCAGATAGCGAGCCTCTCAAAATAATAAGATGGAGAAAGTGGGCGCAGTATAAATCACCACTGCACAATTCAGGAGTGAAATCTTTCTCCGCGTTTGTTCACTCTCCTTTGTTTCATTTTCATTTCATCCCGTGTTCAGGAGGTGTTCTGGCATAATAATGTTTGTTGTTTAGAGAGGAGAGGAGGTCGTGGTGGTGGTGGTGGTTACTTTTCACCCTTAAAACGAATGGGTAGACTTGGATAGGGAAGGGCTAGTGCTGTAAGTGAGGTTGAGCTGAACAAAAGTTACTTTTGCTCGGGAGGAAGTTGCGTTTTACATGGAATTTTGTTGAGTTCCTTAGTTTAATTTCCTATACATAAGTTGAGTTGAGTAGTTTTGCCTGAGTTGAGTTGAGTTAACTCTAACAGTGGGGGTAACCCAGCGTATGTTCTCAGATTTTTACTAAATTAGTGTCCATCGATCAGAAATTTGATCATTATGAATTTTGCAAAAGGCACGATTTGCCAAAACTCAGGTTTGGCAGATAAATTTGCATCCGAAGATGAGAAATCGCACCGTAAATTTGTAAAATGTAAGGTTAGTCAACTTTAGACCATGTTTTCTCCTCTTCGGGTACAAATATCTCTGCCCACCCTGCGCATTGGCAGATTGTGTCTTTGCAAATTTCATATTAATCAAGTTTGTGATCGATTAACACTATTTGTAATTTGGTAAAAATTGCAGACTGGGAGACCTTCATTGTGAGCTGAGTTTCTCTTATTGAATTCAGTGGAGTTTCCCGTGTATCGAGTTGCGTTAAGTTTCATATAACACAACTAATTTTATTGCAATCCACTAAAATCCACTTCCCTTTCATCTCATTTTTATTTCCCAACTTAAATTTCATTAATACAATTTGCCTCTCCAATTAAATCACTTTCGTCCTCGTAAAACTCGGCTTATTTTCATCCCCACCAATCCATCCACCTTTGCATGCATCTCTCTCTCCACTTCCTCCTTCTTCTCCTTCCTTCCTCTTACGTACGTACGTAACTGAATCATTTATTATTTTCAATAAACAATGAATGTTCCAAGATGGAGGAAAACAATAATAAAAGTGGTTTAATTCAAGGGGGACTTCATTTCATCCATTTTATATCGACATGATTTTACTTTTACTCGCTCGTATAAATTAAGACCTCGTCGTCCTCGTCCCAAGTTTCAGAATCCAATCCAATTTCGCGCAACAATAAAATAAAATCCGTCGAGAGAGAGAGCGACCCAACCTTGAGCCAAAAGCGAAGGGCGTCGGGTCAGGTCAACAAAAAGGGGTGATAATAATATAGATAATACTCATTGTCACGATGGGCAGGAAAATGCATACCCATTTTCTTTGCCTTCACTACTGCCGCAGTATTTTGCGAGTAAATAGCTAGTTAACGAGCGGCGGTAGTGGAGAGAAAGTCTGCTTTCACCAGTCTCCCAAGAGTCTACTATTGCGGTTTTCGGGCATTCATTATTTGATTGCTTTTGTTACGGACGGCAGTGACGGCGGAACCGTGGGGACAGAAGGGTAATGTCCCCATCATCTGCCCATGTCATATAAACCCCTCCCTTCCGTATCCATATACCTGTTCACTTTCATTCATTTGACTGATTCTGATAATGAATGCAACTGAATCTCCTGTCGTTTGAATGAAAATGACTGAAGGATTTCAGATGAATTTCAGATGAATGACTGTGAATGAAGAATTCTTCACTTATTCATTTTTCTCCAAATACTTAATACGTGGGGCGCAGTAAGAAATGAAGTCCGATGAAGTGAAATGTTATCAATTTGAACGATAATGACTGAATGTAAATGAAAATCTTCAATGACTGAGTTTTGAATGAAAACTAAATTTTTGAACAGGTATGCCCCCCGCTGCAATGTTAATGTCCCCATAGCTTCCGCGGCCACTGCTCAGCCGGTATCTGATGCTTGGTTGGTTGGCTGCATGCACACTTTAGCGAGTTTGGTTAGGTACATACGGTTTTGTGCAATGAAGCATAATTTTAACTAGATCACATATTTGCACAGCGAAAAGTTGAGTAGTGCTCATTAGACGGGATTAGTTGATCAAGTGGCAAGTAGTCAAGGGTGTAAAAATTAGAATCAATTTCAAAGTATGAAATCCATCTCGTTATATCTCATCCGTGAGTTTGGTTGTTACGTAAAAGGGAAAATTTTTAAGTGTTAGCGGGGGCACAGATTCGATTAGTTACGTAGTTGTTTGGTCAGTGAAAGTGAAAGGTGTTGATTAAATTAGGTCAGAACTTTCTCTTCATGGATGGCGTAGACGGGACACACTTAGAAATTGGTGGCAGATTTTTAGACATCACTGTAATTGCTAGTTTGGGTTTATGGTTATATATTTTAATATCAAAAGTAGTAAACTTTACCTTAATTTACATTATTAGTACTTTGATTTTGGTTTTGTAAATAAAATTAATTCGTTTATAGATTTATAATTTGTAGAAATGATAGTTGTATAGTTTACAAGCTGAAATAATTTTTATTATCAAAAACAGAGTTAAATAAAATTTATAGATTGGGTTTCGATAGTTGGGTAATAATTAAGGGATTGCCAATTCTAATAATTATAATTATTTTAAAAATTGGGACTATAATTATTATTCTCCCAATTTTTAAATTCCGTACTATTGTTATTAAAGTATTTTAATTAACTAGCTGAATTTTGGAACAAATTACAACTATATATTAAAAACATACAAAATTGCACATTAACTTTGTCCCATGTGTCAATAATTTGCTTGATTAAATAAAACTACAGGATTCATAAAACCCAGGTATTTTCAAAAAGAATGAATGTCCTATCTTCGCAATGAATATCTAGTAGCAAAACTATAATATATTCTCACTTCTTACTTATTGTTAACTTTACTGTTGATTGATTGATCTTGAAACCAAAATTTCCGGAAAATCGTATCCCCTCTTTTTTTTAAGAGTGCATATATAACTAACGAATTACAGACCAGATTGTGAGCCGATGATGGCATGGTCTCGTCGTCATGTACAAGATTTGTGTCGACGTGTCATGTCCTTCTATACTGATCGGGGGACCTTTCTGCGGTCTCGGTAAATCTTGTTCCACTCGAGTGACCAAAACCAGTCGACTATATAGTTGAACGGTTCTTGGCTTCAATAGGCTGATGAATGGGGTGGGTTTTTTGTAGCTGTGGAGGTGAATACCAAAGTGGAAAAAATCGGTGTGTGGACAGGTGTGGAGAAAGTGGCGGTGGTGGAATTCTCCGAGTGAAAAATGTGAATGTCATGGAATAGCAGGCTTCCACGATTTTCTTTTTTTCGAATGAGCAGATATTTAATTACGTGAAAATTACATCAGTGTTTAGATATTTCTGGAGCGAAATTGTATCGAAATTTGCTAGGGGGCGGTATTCGAATTTTGAAAGTGTCAAATTCGTCTTATGAAGGAAAAAGTATTTTCCGAAAGCTTGTGACCATCAGATAAATTTACATCCATGAGTTCCGAAAAAATGTCTCTTAAGTCAAATTTGTTGTTGGAAATTTTTGCAAGAAAATGTGAATTTTCTCAAAAATTATTGTTACCATTCAGAAATAAATCGTTACCAACTTGGCAACTCCTACGCAGTCCATGATACATAGATAATTCCGTCAACTTAGTTTTAGTGCTGTCCAACCTTGCAAAAATTCAATTCAACTTTCTCCCTGTCACTTCCGTGTTTATTTTCAACTCAAAATTTGGATTTATGACGAAAAGTTGTAAAAGTGGGAGAGAGAAAGAAAGGTAACAGAGCGGATATTGGTTGAGGCGAGGCGAAAGAAATTGTCACTTTCTTCCACTTTCCTATTTTGCAATCTGTCCCTTCCAGAGAGACCAGACCAGAGTACGTTTTGTTGTTTTGTGTTGTACTTTGAGAAAAGTTTTGTCCTTTTAGTTTTATCTCTCATTCTGTGAAAATAGAGACAGGAGATGAGTGCTCGTATTAAGTGTGGCGTGGTGTGGGTTCGAGGAGAAGGCTGTGGCAGGGGCGGAAATAGGAAGGGCCTTGTGCAACAAAGGGGAAAAATTAATGAAAAATACAATTTTGAACATTTTTTTGCGGACTTTTCAATTATTCAAATTTATTACGAAGTGATTTTTAAAACAATTACTCAATCAGTTATAAGTCTACCATATTTTCCGTATTAAAGACATTACGAAAATGGGATAGACACGCCAAAACATCTGGAATTAAATATAATTTTTTGCTTGTTTTATGACAAAAATAAATTCTGGCTTATAAATTATTCAATTGATTGAATTTACTTGATCTTGTATGTTGGTTGAACTTCTTAAAATTTTATAAAATATTCTGCATCAAATCCTTTCATTTTTATCTAATTTAATAAAATTTTCTCGTTTGATAAACCTTTCACCAATATTTCATAACTTTTTTTTAAAATCTTTAATCTTTTTATCCTAAGCTAAAACCAATGAAATTCCCCGAGTAAAAATGTGTGTGGCAGATTGTACATAATTCGACAAAACCATTATGCTTAATATTTTACGAATAAAATTGTCTGGCGGTTTATGCAGAAAGCAGGTAGGCGGCTTTGTCGAAAAAAATATGCATAGAGGTCCATGACGTTTTATGCATGGCATATAAGCCCAAAAAAATATGCATAAATTTGTTCCCCTTTTATGAGTAAAATTTTTGCCATAATTCTTAATGCTAAACAATTGTGTCGAAAAACATTATTTTTTCTACAAGGTTCTACTTTATTCCAACTCTACATTATTCATCATTCGTGTTAACGAGCGTAGTTCACCACCAACATCATACAAGCATATAAATTTCCAGAGATCAATTTTATCCATTGGCAATATTCTAAGATTGTTGCTCACGGCCTGAACTTGAAAAGAATCCAGTGATAGCTTCGAGGGTATTGTGCTGCACTTCTTCAAAAACATTAATGGGTGTATACATTCACTAAGTAATATTATCTTATATATAACAAAAAACTGGTCACCACTTCGAATTACTGAATTAACCCCTTTTTTGGTATCCCTTTGAGCCGTGTTAAAATACTTTTCTGCTATTAAACATGAGCTATACGAAATTCCTTGTGTTTCTAAATATCCCAATCGCGACATTTTATTTCTTTCATTATTACTAAAGATATACAATTTTCCAGTCCCAAACACAGTGCAACAACCAGCGGTGAATGACTTCTTGAAATGCTTGATATTTTCTGTGAACGACAAGTGAAGCGATTTTGCTTCCGAATTTCTAAAGCTACATTCAGCCGTCGAGAGCAAACGCTGAGTAACCACTATTCGTTTCACGATTTGCATTCCGACTTGTCTTGTTCCGCAGAAACTATTAGTCAGAACACCGTTGAAGTTTTCAAATTGAAACAGCGAGTAACTCCAAAGCGGACCCCAATTTTGTACACATTCCGCTGCATGAAGCAACAAATGGGCATTAAACGAGCAAAATCGGTCGCCATACAAATCAGGGATCGAAAAGCAAAATTTTTTGAGCAACTTCTTAGGTATTTCGGTATCGGTCACAATATCTTGGCAAAGAAGATATACTGCGTTCACCAGTTTTGAAAAATGTTTGAGATAACAACTTGGCAGGATTCCTTTCAATAAATAGGTAGCCGTTAGCATCCATAATTTCCACTCACTTGCTTTCCAATATTTCATTTCACTTGTCTCCCGAAGATGCCTTCTACAGTTTTGGGGAAATTTTAGGGACAAGATCATATTATTTACTTCTGTATACTTGTTGCCAATATAGAATGGTTCCAGATGATTTTTAGAATCCATCCAAGCGTATGTGAACGATCTGACAACTCCCAATAAAACTGTGTGCATGTAATCGAAGACGAATCCCCAAACGATGTCAAATTTTGGCACGAGCAGTAATTTCGATGCTGTTTTAATTCCATAATTAGATGTGGTACGTTCTCCATCCATAAGTGAGTCCCGGAATTCTGACTAGTGTCGGCAGAATTCTGGGTGACTTCTTTTGACGTGGTTATTTGATGGGATGAATACCCACTTGTGACGTCCTTGTCACAGTGATAAGGACTCCCCCCGAGCAAGACACCATGGGCAGCTATGTTCCCCGTTGAATTGATTGATTCCTTGCAGTTGACACCGAGCTACCGAATCGGCTGCCAGTAAGGGAAAGTATACACGACTGTATTTTTTCACATCTTTGAACATCCAATTTACGCCATTTCTTGATAATTCGATTGCTTGTTGGATAAAGGGTGCAAGAAAAATATCGAAATTTGGTTTTTCATCTCCAAACCACAAACCAGCAAGTATTGTGTATTTTCTTCGCAGTTGATAACCCAGCTCGTTAATGGATATTAGTAGAGGCCAAATGCTGTATTTTGAGCTATTGAATATGGAGACGCCATCCGTATTGATGCTGCAACTTATGTCGTTGTCCTTCAAACCGAGCCCGTGGTACATATCGCCATCTATGATATCTCGTATTTCGGACACCGCACCCATCTGTCTTCTAGTCAAATTTTCTGCCAAAGATTTCTGTATGGCTTGAATTTGTAGTAAACCTTGTAGGGACTTTTTGATGTCAAAGGAAACGAAAAAGTTACCCCTTGTCAAACACGTCGAGAAAGTAGTCGGAACTTGACATTTGCCACATTTAGAATCGTCCTCCTTTATTTCAACTTTGCAGTCTTTGCAGTAAGCTACCTTTTGAATTCGGCTGTAATCTCCTCCGACCTCTTTATCAAATAAATATGTGGACGTTGGAATAGTAACGCCATGAGGAACATGGAAATTGATTAAGTTTAGCAAGTCTGACAGTGCTGTTTTGGTAATTTTATGTCGAATTGAGTAACCCAGAATTAAGAGATTGCTTTCTTTCCGAGATATTCGTGCTCCTGTGTACAGTTCTTCAACTTCGACCTGCAAGTAATAATTATTTGCATGCCAGCATATTATAATAAAAGAAAACTTTCTAATTGTAAATTAAAGCTCACTTCATGTTCGCTGAATAAATCACTGGAATCGGAGTCATCCTCATTTGTGTCAGACGACTCGTTTCCAAAGTCCACCTCCGGTGGAATTTCAAATTCAGGAGGGCTATTGTTTTCCCGTACAGTATTCAAATAAGCCTGTAAAAATGAAAATATTTTACAAATTGAAGAAATTGTATTTACAGTTATTCATTGAAAAATTAAGTACCCTAGCAGTCCTCTTCCTGTGTCTTGTTCGTTGAGGAATATTTGATAAGGCTGCACTTCCCGAGCACGAGAAATATTTTTTGTAAGATTTTCTGCTTGACATTTCAGCATATTTGTTTTCAATAAAGCAAATTTTGAATATTTCTTCCGTGAACGGGGTAAGTGTGGAATGACGACAGCGCGGTATACCCAAGCCACAACATCGTGTTCTTATTTAGCTGGCTCCTTCACTCCGTCTATTTTTTTGAGTTGCCAAAATTAACTAACAGATAACTTCAAATTTCTGTCGAAATTAAAAATGACCTTCCTATTGGTAGAGTGGGTGTCACAAAAAGTTCCAAAAGAATATTCGGTAGTTCCGGCGGAAAGTATTGAGGACGGAGCTATTCGGCAAAATGCGAAGTCTCTAATAAACCAAATTGTGCGTATAATTTGGAAAAAAGGTAAAATTTTCCCTGCCGTAATTTTGGAAACAGGTGAGTTTTATCAATTTATTGTACAACTTTAATTATCGTGTCAAATGAAATCATTCATTACACCGATTCATTTAATTAATCATAGGGGACGATGAAAAGCATCTCTGGGAACGGGCAGACTTCTACGGCGAAACAACAAAAGTTGGAGACATTTCGACAAATAAGCGAAGTCATGAAATTCTTGAAATGCCCGTGAAGAAAAAGGGTAACACGTCTTGCACTTGAGTTTCTAATCACCATTGAACCTTAATTAAGTGTCTATTTCTTCCTTAGGGAAGCAAGCCCGATTAGTAGCCGGTCGAGAACGAGCAGATGCCATCCAAGACGTTCTTGACTCTCTAGAATCGGACCAAATTATTGACCTAAATCCTGACACAAATTCGTACAAACACCTAGTATCGTTGACGAGGAAGAAGGTCGGAACTTGGGCGAAGGAACGACAAACTTCGAGGGTGATTTAGTCATAACTTAAACGTTTTTATTATTTTTAATATTTGCAACATAATTTGCAACAGAAAAGTACCAGTCCTTGAAGGAGAAGCACAAACGGCTGAAGCAGAAATACAGAGAATTGAAGCGCAAATTTGATCAAAGTGATAATGTAAGCGATGTTTTATCATTCTAGATCTCTAAATAAGCTTGTATAAATATATTATCCTCCTTATTTTTATAAATATATACAGAACATCGAGCTTTTCGATGGATCAGGTGTAAGGATCGAGTCTTCTGTGCTGGCGTCTATGAGAGTGATGTCACCAAAACCTACGATACTTGCAAGAAATCTTTTTAGACAGCTATTCTCTGCTGAGGAGCTATCCAACCACTCATTGTTTGGGAAGCAATCCAATGCTAATCGCGGACGGGAGACGCTCCCGGAAATTGATAGTGTTCGCAGAGATGCCGTAATAAGTATGTCCACAAAATTGATTAAAATACATGATTGAAAATTCGATCCGTTTGCAAATAATTTTATATTGCAGATTTCATACTGAAAGACGAAGGCTTTGGTGAAGCGCCGGACACGGGTAACCCAACTGCTGACAAGGTCTTCATAAAAGCAAGAGGACCCTAAAAAACGAGCTGCGGAAGACATTGTCCGAATTCCTCAGGGAGGAGAAGGCGAAGGCACGGGATGGTAACAATCAGTAAAAATTCTAATGATTATTGTTGTATATTACCCAACAATAAATTCGCTGAATAAAGATTACAATCAAAGATATAACAAAATATTTCGTCATAATTCTTTATGCATAAAAACCAGCCAATTGTCGTACCAAAGATTTCGACATAAAAAATTATGTACATTGCAACCGAAACAAATTAGTATGCATAACTAATTCGACATAACCAAATGGAATAAAATATTGTGCATAAACTTTTTTGCATAAAAACCAGCAAATTCTTGCTTTAATTCGGGCATAATTATGCAAACAAATTATGCATAAAAATACATGAAATTTTCACCCGGGTCATATTTCACAATTTTACCAAATTTCTACTAATAAACTTAAATTTTAGTCTATTTTTGAATCCTACTTCACCCTAATTTTTCCCCCACTTACTCCCCTGCCATTCCCAACTTATCACTTACCCCCTTCACTCTCTCCCACCCACTATCACATCGCGTCTTATCATCATGTATGTGTCCAAATCAGGATTTTAGGCAGCCGGGCTGATGATGATGATGAGTAAGTACTTATAAGTAGGATGCCCTTAATTCTCTCTCTCTTTTCTCTCCAGTTTAGCGAAAGCTCTCTCGTTTTCTCTTTCACTTTCTCTTTTATCTTAAGTGTTGTTCTCCCTTCATGAGTGGAATCATGAAATGAAAGGGCTATTAAAACGTGGCCTATTTAGTAAATAGCATTCTTCACCCTGCAGGTGAAACACGAGGCATTAATTTAATGTGAAGAGGTAAAATCCGCTTTACGTAACGACCCAAGAAACACTAAGTACTGGGAAAAAATAAGGCATCAAAATAATCACGTATTGAATGAGGGCCTTTTTACCTATTCTCGGAGCGCACTCTTTATGGAAATAAGTTGTCGGGAGAGAAAGTAGTGTGGTTTGGTTTAACTGACTGAGAAAAACAGGACAGGACAGGTGTGTGTTGTGTTGCATGTAATGAAAATCGTCTCATGGAAAACTTTTATTATTTCAACTTTCCCAGTGTTTCGGGGAAAATGGGTAGTTTTAATTGAGGACTTTTTCCCGGAAAATGTTCTGTGGAGGGAAGTTGGTTGTTGGTTTGGTCCGAATTTTCGGTACTTTGTGGTCAATTGAGGTTTTTGAGTTTAGAAAAATTGTGAAAGTATTTAAAACCTTTTTAAAATTTTTTAGAATCACCATTTACCTCGAAAAACAAGTTTTAGATTATATTTTATCCCACATTAAAAGCAGGTATTTCTCAACCCACGAAGAGCTTTCAATTACTGTTCAAAAATGCAATTTATGCAAGGATTGGTATTCCCTATGCATCTGTAATGTATGTAAAAACATGCTAAAAAATGTCTACTGTTGAGTATCACGAAAATCTACCAGACTATCGATAGAACTCACAAATGTGTCGCTGAAGAATGTGAAGACTTATTTGACAACTACAATTCCAATTTAATTTAACTATTGCTTGCAGTGAAGCTTTTATTTCTATAAAATTGGCACAAATTAATAATTTTATGAGGAGACCTCTTGACTTGAGGTGCTTCTCCTTGTGAGTCTACTTCGGGACTTTTTGTTAAAGTTAACTATGAAGCTAAATGTAAACTAAAAACGCCTACCATTAATTCTGGTTAAAACTGGATTTTATGTAGTCGTGGCACTTCCACGTCACCTTAACCTTCACAATAACCTTCATATAAAATATATCATATTCTTACATGCGTATGAGCCGGTCACTTTACTCTATGAAAACTGTCTCTTACATAAAGTGCAATGCTCTCAATCTTCATATCACACAAAATCATGATAAAAATACATGCCTGCATATCATTACATTTAACATCTACCCTTAGCACCATTAACAATAACATCAAAATTAACAAATAAAGTACAAAATAAAATTAGATGACTTAGGGCTCAATGACGATGTCCAAAAAGAAACATGAATTGTAACAAAGAAATTTCTAAATTAAAAAATTCTAACAGTTAGACGCCACTCGTAAAATATTATAATTTATCTTTTGATAAATACAGGTCAACCATCCCTTGCCGAACGTCACGTGGCCTGTCCCAACATGATATTTTTAAGTTTGTGAGATAGGTCACATGAGATTTGGGGGATTTACCGAGCCAGTAGTCGGCAATTAAATAAATAAAGTACCTAATTAATTGTAAGAATTTAAGGATCGAATCTTCTTTCAGCGTTGAAAACGATAAGGTAAAAATATGATTTTTTTGTGCAAAAAAATCATACATTTAACACCATTAACAAAAATATCAAAATTATTAAATACTTCCAAATAAAATCAGATTCTCTTATCATCACTTGACAAAATTCAAAAATCTGAAAGTTTCCGAAAAACCGAACACTGGTTTCCTTCTGACGTAGAGAGATTGCCTTGTTGCGATGAGCGATACGTGAGTGGGTGGCTTTTTCTCTGTATATACGTCGACGGTCGACCTTTCTGTCCTGCCTACCAGGCAACGTGACAACTTTCACTCACCCTCGTCGCCAAGTTGGGTGACCTAACACGTCGCCACGTGTCGTGGAAATTGTTTTCCGTATAAATAAAACCACATGCAAACGTTAATAACAAACGACAGAAGCCATCCATTCACATCAAGAATTCCCTTAACGAATAGTAATAACAGAGGGATGAGTGAGTGCTAGAGTTCGAATACTGGGTTAAAATTTAATTGACACGGGCAAAAACGGGCAGGAAGCCATGTTTCTCATTTGTATACTGTACACTAGTCATTTATTACACGAGTGGATGCTCGAAACGAAAAGTGGTTCATTAAAATTCTTTGATGAGTCGTGGAAGGGTAGTGAAATGGAAATTTTAGGAATTTTAATTTTGAAAGTTTTCATATAAATTATGTATCTACGACGAGTGAAAGGATGGTTGCATGATGAGTACTATTTTTTTTAGTAAGATCGATTGAAATTAGTGAGGGTTATAGATGAGCCTTGTACATACACATATTTTTTAATATGCAAATGTGCTAATGGAAAAATATGAAGCCAAACTACACAGATTTTTTAAAATTATATATTTTTATATAAAATTGTATGCATTGGACTGTAAATGTGATTTTTTAATCGAATGACAAAATTGATCCGGGTTTCTGCCATCAAGCATCTAAATTTTGGGTGCATTTATACCTTCTATAGTTTTCCTTCTTTAGTTATTAACGTCGCTTAAACTCGCCATATTTTTAATGTTTAAACTTTTAAGCGAAATTTTACCCTTATAGAAACACAGACTGCACTAAATACATAAAAACTTTGATAAAACTTCCTCCACGTGTTTGGGGGAAAGCCCTCTCTAACCACACTACTTTCACCCACTAAACAAAAAGCACTAATTGTGACCATCCAGCCAGCCCTCAAACTCAATTCTTCCCTGCCAACAAAATTTATTTTTCTCAAAACTCATCATTTATTTCCATCAATTTAAGTAATTTAATTTCGCTCTAACACTCTCCTCTTGATGGATGAATGTTGTTAAATATCCATCATTTTCACATCTCTCTCTCTCATTCCCAAAATATTTCTACACAACCACAAAATCAAATTGCCAAATATTTGGTAAAATATTTGCTGCACTTTTTACCCAGTTTTTTGCCTATAATATTTCTCTTTTGACACACAACTACAAAATCAAATCTGAATCAAATCGCCAAATATTTCGCAAAATGTCTGTTGCACTTTTTCCCCAATTTTTTTCCTTATCCATGATAAATCCTTTTACGTGGGTGGCTAAGCTGAATTTTACAGCCTTGTTACAACATCTACTTTCTCCCCAATTTTATGGAAATGGAGATTCTGATCTGTCCTGGAAACTCTGACTGAAAGCGAAATGATTAATTCAGCCGTTTCGTTCCTCCATTTACTTTCTCTTTTGACTTTGTACTTTTCCCCACTTGTTTAATGGGGTTGTCATTATCTTCATCTTTCTCCTTACTCAATTTCCCTGTGAATTCGCGAATCCACTCCAAACAAAACCAGCTCCACGTCCCCGTTTTACTTTCTTTCTCTCTCTCCTTGTTCCAAATGAATGGGTAAAGCTATTTTGCTGCGGGATGAAAATTTCACTTGTTTTGTTTCCCAAAACAACAAAAGCACTATATTTGTAAAGTAAGTAAGATGTTTCTGACATGAGTAATTGAAACCATTAGTGGTCTCAGGCTCGTAAAGCCTGCATCACGTACCCTTGTTTGTTGTTGGTTTGATCTTTGACGGGGTGATTTGAGACGAATATGCAAATCTGATGTGCATCTGTCAATCTATGTAAATAAAGTTCGATAAATCTGAAATTCTGAAATTGAATCGTGACCTTTATATCGTGGACAAGGACGACAGAGTAAAATGAGTGATTGACGGCGATTTTGGTTTCGGAGGAGGAGGAGGAAAGCCAAATGTCACACTAGTTCCGGTCGCAGCGTGTTTGCAATGTATAACATGATGCGAATAATAATCTGGTTGGAGTTTCTTTGTCTCGAGTGAAAGCAAAACACATGCAGGAGAGCTGCATCCGGTCGTAGTTGATTCTGGATTACGAGATAAAATAAAATGAAGCAATGTTTGTTTAAGCAGGGGGAGAGACGGGATCACGATGTGATGTGAAGTGGAATTGAGATTTATGGCGGATGACTAACTCGGTTGGGCACGCTTAAAAATTGGAGGACTGAATTTTTGTTAAGGGGAAGGAAAGTTTCTGATATTTTTTAACAGTGGTGGTAAACTTGTGAGAGGGTGTTTCCACTGTGTAGTAACATTTGTAGTATTTTTTTTTAGAACTTTGATACATACGTTTTGTTACCAATTTGCATTATTTTAAATAGTTGCCATTGGACTAGAAAATTACTACAGATTGGGGTGGAATTTGTTCTAACTTTTTTATGATTACGTATTTGTAAGCAGTCGTTGTTTTTCTATTATTAATTTAAAGTTGCAAAAAAATTACTGTTTTATAAAATTTGCAAACTTATACACCGATTTGCAAATTTTTACACGGTCGAAATGATAATATATTGTTTCAGGTGCGTACTTTTTCTCAAACAAATATGCGTTTTGTACTATCTCTATATATGTAACTTGGCATGAATACAAGTCGCATTTTTCATAAAAGCGGAGGATATTGCATCCCCCCATTTTTAAGCGTGTCCTTTAACTGGGTGGGTGGTGGATGGAAGTGACTGCGAAAAAGTCATAAAAATTCGGCTCCATCCAAGCTCTCAAAAACCCAGTTGGACATCGGAATCAACGTCGAATCAAACCAGCGGGCAGGCAGAAAAGCACAGGCACAGATTTCGCACATATTTAATGATCTCCTCTTCTCTTTTATCTCTCTTTCTCTCCACTTTTTTTAGGGGTGGCAAACAGGCCAGAATTTCACTCACTTTTATGAATGGAGGGAAAACCTTGGAGAAAAATTTTATACAGAATTTTTTTTCGTAATGTTTTTCTCTTAGATTTATATCGTGGAAGGATTCGGGAATTATGGTGCTGCGGTTATGAGTACTTTCACCCTGCTTTCACCATATGCGTATTGTGATGATGATAATGGGGTGTCTTGTCGTCTCTAATTTTTTATCGCTTTATTACTATCATCACATCCTCCCTCACAAATCTTCAAGATGCAAATATGCGAGTGTGTGTCGAGGACAGGATAACACTTTAGAACTTGGTTTGTTGTATATTATTTCACCATTATTTAGAGAGATGGTAATAAAATAAGGATAATTTATTATGTTCTGACATACCATTGATATTCTTGGTCTTTTTTACTTCACAATTCAGTAAAATATACCTTGTGGCATAAAAGGTATACATAAGCTCTTAAGATAATTAACCATGCACAATCATATTTTCTAATTACCATATGCTTTAAATCGATATTTCCCAAATGTTCAGGTAAAAATTTACTTAATAAGTCCTTGTACAATGATAATTAAAATATAATGCCATATTTCAGCTGATTAAAAACCTAAAACATTAATTTATTAATCAATAATTTGTTACATCAAATGGTCTGCAAACTAGAAGAAATAATGCAAATTTTAGAAATCACCATTTAGAAAAAAATATGCAGCTATAGTCTAACGCCGTTTTAATATTTTGAAAGAGTATATATTAATAGCTACTATAAATTCAGATCGCCAACTGTTTACGAGCTTTTTACTTTCGTAATAATCTCGAACACTATGAATCACGTGACTTTGTTTCAAAAATAAAACTTCGATCAAACTATAAATCAGCAGCTTTTTGATCACGCTGTTTTGATATTTTAACTATATTTGCATATTAAAATCATGCTGTTTTCATATTATGAAGAAGCATAAATATACGCAAAGTTATTATACATATCTGTCCACCTACTCTCTTACATGACCAGTACTTTTTTACCTTCATAACGACTCTCAAATACTAAAAATCACTCACTGAGCTTTCAAAAATAGAACCATCGATACTAGTATGGAGACAAACCTTTATTTCTTATACACCACCATCAAAACCAAAAATCAAATTCAGACCTCTTCCAACTACAAGTAAAAATCTGCCCTACATTTTCTAAGAAAAAAATCGTCTCAAAATCAAATCCCACCGGCCACCACGAGACTTATCGATTTTCGAAAAAAAATTAAAAAATCAAAATTCCCCAGATCATGAATACATCAAAAAAACACTGCCCATCCTTATCTCTCCTCCTCCTCCCCTCCTTGAAAAAAACTTAACACGGTCACTCTTGCATATCTCCGTTTCATGTCCCCACCCACTAAATGATGCCCAACCATGCGAACCAAACCAAACCAAACCACTCAACCCACATACGTATAGAAATATCATTAATCATGCCATGCTCCATCCACTGCCCTGCTTAATAAAAGATGCCTCGCATTTTTTGCTTGTTATCATCCCTGTTCATCATCAATTCAATTGCGAGCAAGAGAGAGAAATAAAAAGAGAAAGCTTTACGAGGCGACTTTCTCTCTCCCGCACAAAAAAAAATCACAAAGATTGAGTAGTAGTCCGGTCGGTAAGGATAAATGTAATGGTTAATGGTCTGTAATCTTTAATCTTTCCCATCGCCGTCGTCTTCGTCTTCGTCATCGTCAAATCTGCAGCCGTGGCTCAAATTATTTTTGTTACGAGAAGGTTGGTTTGCTTGTTGGGGTATTTTATTTACCAGAAAAGACAAGATTAATCCGACATGGGACAGTATTTTTGGTGAATCCTGTTGGTCGTGGTCACGTCTGTCGAAAGAGAGAGGGACATGTTCGTGTGGGTGTGGTCGCTAAGTCTACGAGGACGATGAGAAAAATAGTAAAAATGTTCATTCAGGTTTCCACTTGAGGAGGGAAAATGTCCGGAAGATATGATGATGAGTTACGGAGTGGAAAGGGATAAATAAGGAGAAAGTGGGGAAAGGATTAATGGGGCAGGGTGCGAATTCAGGGCAGTTTTTGGGATTTTGTAGCATTTGTGATTTGATTTTTTGGGAGTTTTTTGAAGTAACGTTTTGTATTTTTGTTACTTAGCTTGAAGCATAGTTTGAGGGCAATATATTATTTCTACCGTGATATTTAGAGGGTACAGTTTTTACGAAACTGCAGCCGTTTCCTAACTGCTTGAATAATCATTCCTATTTGGGGATTTTTACAAAGCTTTTGCAGAATCTAATGGGTACAACTTACTTAAGAAATAAAAAGTTATTACTAAAATGGCGTCAGTGTTAAGCAAAAAAATGATTGCAAAAAATTGTTAAATACTATCAATTTTGTTTCACCCATATATCGTTACCAAAGATCTTTCAATAATCATTCACATACGGAGATCTACTTTCCAATGATTTTAACAAAAATCTTAACGTCTAGGAACCTAATTTATACATTTAATCTGCTAAACAAAATGTATTACCAAAACGGCGTCAAATTGTTAAAAAAATGATTGAAATTATGTAATATTTTTAATAACTAAAAAAATTGTGAAATAGTATCATTCACCCGAAGATAAATGACTATTAAAAATTTCGTAACCTTCCTGCCACCAATTTTGCCCCACATATATCAACATTTTCCATACCCTGCTTAATTTTCCCTTTTCCGCACAATTTGGAAACCCTGCCCCCGAAAATACTACTTGACAAGGATGAAATCAGAGATTTCGTGAGCTTAGTGTCATTTCCATGTCCATTTTCTCCAAAGGTTTCATCCAGAAGATTCCCTCTCTCTCTTTCCCGACATGCCATCCACTTCCAATTTAATGACACTTATTTATATGAGCCCAGACTCTTACTTACTTACTTTATATCCATTTTACTACCACGCAGTAACGAAATTTGACTGGTACATATATCCAAAATCCACTCGACCTTCCTCTTTGTTCCTCCTCTACATACATATTGTTCGGAATTTCGACGTAATAAATAAGGTCAGCTCAGCGAGCAGTATGTTAGTTTTGAATGTGGTTTATTATACGGGAACTAAACCCGTTAATCTGTTATCTTCCAGCGTACATAAATACACTTTCTTGCGATGGGGCTTATCGATCGCTGCGATATAATGAGCCTTGTCACAGTTTGCGGGTTTGTGGTCATAATTCACAGCTAAGCTTTAATCCAGTCCAGAATGGATGGATGGCGGTGGTCTGACTTGGCTTACGTACAGTACGTGCGTTCAGTTCTTCTTCTTCTCAAGCTAATAAACTTCTCGTCGCCGTTGTCCGTGGCGTCGGCCTGTTTGATAACTTTAAAAGTTGATCGAGGATGCAAATCAGGTGGTGGTGAAGAGTTTGCAGGAAATAATTAGGTGACGAGGCGAGGTCATACATCTGCTGGAGAAGATATTGCACTGTTATAAATGTGGGAATTAAATTGCGACGTATTTATTCATAGAACATGATTTCGTCAGATAAAACGGTTTACCCAGTTGGTAATAAGTTATTCAACGTGACCCGTTGTCAACAGAAAACTGTGTCAAATTTTTACAAAAATATGATAAATTGACTGAACAAACGTAAGAAATTGAAAAAAATCATTTCGCATTAATCGCGATCATCGTGGAAAGAAGTAAAATTAAGAATACTAGTTTTGTTGCAAAAAAGAGGTTTGCATTGTGTAACGCCATTTGTAATATATTTCTGCTTATTTTATATGCCAAAGTTATAAAATAGATTTGCAGCCGTTTCTGATTAGGTAAGATTGCAATTCTATAATTTTAAATATTTTTTTAACTCGCTAACCTTAAGTACAGATTAGTACTTTGTATGAATTATTAATCCGTAAACGGGTGTCCTTAGCTTTGGTAGAGTAGTATTTTTCTGCCATTTTTTATTTTCTATGAAACAAAATTTTAATAATAGTTTTATCCTTGAGTTCAAGATTATGACGCCCGTTTATAAAATAAAATTTTGTTTTATTATAAAAAGCATAATCAGATTCAGTATTTGGATCCCAATTTTCTTTAACAATTTCGTGTCATATAATAATTGATAATTTATTATATTATTACGGTGTCAATCGTTTACCGTTCGGTGTAAACCATTTACCATTCGGTGACTATAAATCAATATAATTTCTGTCCTATTACTTCCGTCAATTAATTTTCCCTACAAATTCGTTCCCAAACTGGTAACAAATTATTACCAGTAAACATTTACTTCCACCTCGTTTTAGAGTGTACCGTACTTACTCACATACCCGCATCGTTAATAAAACCAGATGCAACACATGGCACCACCGAAACTATGTAGAATTATTAATGTCGCCAGGTTGTTTGGGGGGAGAGAAAGTCATGAGACTATTTTCAGGCGGGGAAAGTGTGGAGGAGGATTTGAATATTTGAGCATGCTTAATTATTAATGGGCCATAGCTTTAACTGGACAGGCGAACCAGACAAATCTGCTTTATTTATTTTCCTCCCTGGACGAAAAACACTGATGTAATCTTCTCCAAACGATAAATCTTGTCGGACAATTTTTTTATTATGGATGGTCACATGACACTGAATCGATACGAGTGAAAAAATAATGCCCATTTTTCCCAACAATTGGAAACGAAACAAAGTGCAGTAAGGGTCCAATTTCATGAAAGAATTACGTTTCTCTCGGAAACATTGTGGGTTGGAAATTAATAGAGTTTTCCATTGTTTGGGATGGAATTGAAGCATAGTTTTGTACTCTTTGAGGAGATTATATGCATTCAAGTTGGTTTATATGTACGAGAGGTTTATTCTGTTTTATTTATAATTCCAGGTTGGGAGCGACCATTGAAGATTTAGGAATTCTGGACAAACTGCTAAAGAGGAATTACGACAGGAGAGCAACACCCACGAATCATTTGAGTAAGAGCAAAAAAATGAGCAAAAATAGACAAAAACATGCCGAAAACGGAATTGATTTATGTTTTAAGCAATCAATTCAAGTCCAAGAGTGGGGCAGTTTCATTTTAGGAAATTGGATGATTTTTTTCGGATTTGGGATGAATTGATGAATGTTGAAAATAGAAATACGTTCTGTTACACGGTTCAGTTTTCTATTAAGTATTACTTAAGTGCAATTAATATAAATACAATATGCAGAACCAACCTATAAAATAATTAACCGATTTATTATATCGATAAATTATTTTCGACTCTAACCTCCTACATTTTCTGTAAAATATTCATAAATCTTATGAATCAATTTAATTTTTCAGTCAATACTTTCTGCCCAGCGTTCCCCACTTCGTCATATTATAGAAAAATTACATTTCTTAAAAAACTCGTCAGAAATTGGTGATCATTACGATAAAACCAACTTTCTCCACAGATAACACCACCCCCACCAAAGTCTATGTAGAGCTGTTCGTCCGTTCTTTCGGAAGCCCTTCTCCGGTCACAATGGTAAGTGAAAGCCAACTCTGAATCACAAAATAAGTGTCTTTTTCGGCAAAAATTATAATTGTTCCCGAAACTAAAATTCCCCACCACGCTTAAATCAATTTCAACTTAATAAATTTAAATTTCGTGTCAATTTCTTCACAATTTCTTACCACTCTCGGTAACAATTTTTGTTACCACCTTATTTAGAGTGGTTGCGATATGGTTTGCATTTTTCTCCACATTCTTCCACGCAGTTTCCCTGTTACGTAAAAATCTCAAGTCTCAGTTTGAGTATGCCTTGTGCAATGTCATGTCAATCAACGTCACCCCCACCAATTTGAACAAGTAGGCAACTCGACGGGGAAGCACATCACGAGCAGAACACCGAATCTACCTACTCGCACATACACACAAAATACCTCCATATCTGCCGACAGACTGGACTTTCTCCTTGACTAAGAGTGCTCCGTGCTTGCTACCACCCACCTCTCTCCTCCTCAGTCAAGTGGCAGTTAGTCCGTTTAAATCAACAGAAATGTTTCTGATTTGCCAACGAGATCAAAGAAAAACGAGGGACGGTTTCTATCTCGAATGAATCCCAGGAGGGCTCCGTTTCGCTGGCAAATATGTCATTTTTAAATCAATTCGGTGTTTAAAACCTTTTCAATGTGCGCGTGTATAGTTTTTCTTTTACAGTTTGTCGTCAAGATATATTTTTTCTTGAAAGATTTCATACTAAATAATGTGCGACATTATGTTCAAGAATTGAATTGGGACACTAAAACTGTCGAGAATTATTAAGTTTCAATATTTCCTGAACTGATTTTTTTTTACAAAAACGGATTTTTTTGCAAAAAATTTGATTTTTTCATTTTCAAATTTGCAACGTGCAAAAAATTGTATCCTCGTTTACTGAGCCAACCATGACTTTCACTTTTATTTTTCACCAACCAAAAGCTTAGTTTAATGGCTACAAAAAATGCAGTGTTTTTTACAATTTCCATTTTTGCAAAATTAAAAAAAATCAATTTTTAACGTGCAAAAACGTAAGTTTACATTTTGACAAAAAAAAATCTTCCCATTACATTCATTTACTTGGTACCAGATTTTTTACTTTCACTTTTATCTCTCACCATCCCAAGGTGGCTTAGTTCAATGCCTGCAATAAAGTGAAATGATGTCCATCCTTACACTTTTCCTTTATATGATCAGCTCAGTTCAGTAGCAGCTGGAGACCAAGTGCCAGCCAGGCCAGCCACTAGAGAAAGCTTATGTAGGTTGTGCAACATTTTGTTTTTGTGACTCTCTCTTTCAAGTGGATTATTAGGCCCTTATCTGATCCATGGGACTCTAAATGGTGTACTGTCCGGCCAGATTTTGTAATTTATGGGGTGGGTGAAAGTCTCGTTTTTCGCATTCATCACTCCTCCTCCTCCGCTACCTCATTTCTCGTCGGTTGGATTGTGCCTTGAATTTTCCGTCTCGCCATAAGTTTTAAGGGTCTCCAGAGTGGCAGAGTAAAAAAGATAAAGGCTGCCAAACAGGGTCCTGCAAGACGGAGACAATTCTTGGACGAGGGAAAGAAGAAAACTATAAATGCACTCTGCTCAACGGACTGAATGTTAAGCGTTTCTAGTTTACTGTTTACTTTCTTCCGGTCTTTCTCCTCCTCGGTTTGGCTGATGCGTGGCTGGTGGATTTGTAGGGTTCGGAAACATGGTGGGGTGCTTGATTAGGAAATTGTATCGTTTAGATAGAACTATGTGGAAGCAGGGTTTTTTGTAACTTTGTACCTTTGCAAATGGCATATCTTCAAATCTCTTAGTTATTATGAAACTCATATATTTTACAAAGGGCGTTTAACCGTTTCAATTTTTTATTTTTTACTTTTTACGAAATGCATTTCATATTACTCGTATTTAAAACTAAACATGAGATGTTTTCACTGGGAATATGATCAACCCAATAATTAATAATTATGCTACCTGTGTGCTGCTAAATATTTTATTGGAAACACGTATTTTTACAAATGTCATTCAGCATTTGCAAATTAAATTACGAACGACACTTTTTAACAAATTGTTTAATATAATTCGAATTACTAATCCTAAGTATTTAATTAGACTATTTTTCAAGATAATTAGTGTCGCCATTTTATTTGTCTTAAATTAAAAAATATGTAGAAAGCATTCTAAAATTGTAACAAAATGATAATGATACAAATATTCAAACGAATTAATTTTTACAAAAATGTACACCCTAAAATATTTTGAATAAAAAAGCTTAATAGAATCCTTACCTTGTCAAAGTACATCTCGAATTAGAATATTTAAAATATTAAAATATTTAAAATATTTTAGTGGAAGAATGTTACCTACATAAAATAATGTAAAAATATATTAACCTTATTCGCAAATCATGGATAAAAATGAAACGTCATTTACGTATCTGGAAATCATGTGTATTTTTTGCCATCAGTCTCACAAACTTGTAATCGGTGTGCAATCACTACAAACAAAAAACACTACGAAGTGTCAAATTTCTAAAACAAAAAAAAAAACGAAAAATTTGCACGTTTAAATTTAAAAAAGTACCCCTCGTCACTCGTTACGAACCCTGCATTTCCTCCTTACAAGAAAAAGTCGAGTAGTGTGTGATCGTCTTTTCCTTTACAGTCCAGTACTTCCCGTTCATGTCGGGTCTTCCACACTGATTACGTAAGATTAGATCACACTACAGAAGATAGGGCATCATCATTTTTATAAAAATTTAGAACAGAAGCAAAGCAGAATTGGATTGGAAATCAATACGATGCGAACTTTCTCCCAAAAACCAGATCCGTTTCACCACTTAAGCAAAGCCGTCCGGATCAAGGATCAAGTACACACTGGCGGAGAAATCATCTCAATTTACATGTTCTCAATAATAAAATTTGCCCACTTTCTCCGCAGGGTAGACAAAAATCAGCCTGAAAGCGAGCCTGAAATATTTACAAAGACAGCTGCCCTGATACGTTTATGGGGTCTTTCGACTCGCAAATTTACGTAGAGTGCGGGGTAATCTGACCGATTTTGTGGTGAAAGTAAGGAAAATGCATGAAGCGCCCTTCAGGGGGAAATACATCGTCGATAAATCAAATCTCATTCCATCTCGGGGAGTGTAAAACGCGGTCAAGCGAATCAAAACGAGCATCCACTTTTGAGCTAAAGACCACTTCGGGGCTCCCATTATGCCCTCGTCATCCTGTTATAGGTTCCTACATGCATGCGATCCTTGGTGGGTTGGGGGTAGGGTTGCAGAAAATATGTAAAAAGTCGGAGAATCCAAATTCGGGGAAAGTGGGAGAAAGTGTGGGTTTCATAAATAGACTTTCTTGCAGCTCAGAGTAGAGGAAAAGGTTCGAAACGTTCGTTATTTAAATTACGAGAGGTCACGTGGAGACTTGTTTTCGAAATCTGGAATGCTTTTAAATTGAATTTGTTGTAAATCACAAAGTTTATAATTTTTGAAAAAAGTTATTCATAAATAAAATTTCATAATTACGGATTATCAATATCATCAATGAATTGGTCACAAATTTCTCCCACCTCAAATGTATGTAGCTTATTTCTCTCGGATTTCTAAACAGTTTTGTAAAGTATAGACACATATTTCGGTTAAATGGGTCAATTAAATTGCATTTAAATGCTGACCAGCCCTAAACTGTGTAGCTTAAAAGGTATCATCTTGATAAGAAAAATTGAAATTAGTTTAAAATTGAGTGGAATTTTTTAAATATTCATATTGGATTCACGAAATCTTTATCTATTCGAACAATGCTACGTTTAAATTGACCTTATTTTTACTTTTGTCGTTAAAATATTACACAAAATTATTTACGTAATTTTAGCATTAGTTTGTAATAATTACGAAATAGTACAAGAATCCTAAAACCATCAATGTTTCCCTTTTCAAAAAACGACACCCTGCTCCACCCACCCACTTGCATCAAGAGATCTCCAATATTCATTCATTTCCAGGGGATAGGATTGCCTTGCTTGTTTTCCTCTAATTCTTCCTTTTGTATTTTCTCCCAGGATTACAAAGTGGATCTCTTCCTCCGTCAGAAGTGGAGAGATGAACGGTTGCAAAGTCCGGAATTCAAGAGACCGCTTGATCTGAACGATCCCAACTTGGTGAAAGCGATTTGGAAGCCGGAAGTCTACTTCCCCAACGGTAAAGAAGCCGACTTTCAGTTCGTCACTGTTCCAAATGTCCTCGTCAGAATCAATCCCAACGGCGACATTCTCTACATGCTTCGGTAAGTGGGAATCTTGAATATTCGTACTTTTGCAGGGTGGTGAAAGGTCTGTTGGGATTTATTAATTTGCAAGAGTGGGAATTTATTTAGGCAATAATTTGACTTCAAATTGCACACTTATTCTGAAAGTTGTGTTTAACTTTGAAAACCCGAAATACACATGAGAGCTAAATATATTCTCTGATAATAACGATGTAATTTCTAGTTTTAAAGTCATTGAGGCAATTCACACAGTCGTTGATAACTTGTAAAATAAGTAAGTTTTGTAAAATAGTTGTACAAACTTTTACAGAATAAAAAGACTTCCTTGATCTGAGCAAGTTTACAAAAATTTATACGCATATTTTCCTTAAAAATATTTGTAAACTAATTTTCTTCAGAAATATTTGTAAAATTTTGTAAAAGTTTGTACATAAGTTTACAGAATTTACTGATTTTACAATGTTAACCAAGGCCTCCGTGAATTACCTCATTATCACACAGAAAGCTACCATTTGACATAAATTACGAATTTTTTGGGCAGCTCATTACTCCACATTAATTGGATTTTAGACCTGTTTCGCCTAATTTTGGGGAGATCCATGTTACGTACTTTCACCAGACGACGTAACCCTGCAGCCCAAATTCTGACAATGCTTGCTCGTCCTCGCTGTTATATATATTTTTTTACGTAACGTGTTCCTCGTTGCTGGAGAAAGTCCATCATTTGTTGAAACCATCCTTATTTTATTTATTTAAAGGAAACAATTGAAAAGAGGAAAAAAAGTAAATATTCTTTGTTTTCTGTTTCGCAAAGTTTTTTCTCTCCTTCTTTTCCACAGTTTGGAAACAAAAACATCTTTTTTCTATCTAAAAGGATTTTTGATTCGCTTCGTTCAACTTGAAATTGTGGAGAAGAAAGGCAAGAAAGAAGGGAAAAAAACTTCAAAGTTAAACTTTTTGGGTGGAGAAAGGGCTTATGGAATCGGCATGTTTGTCCGTCCGAGCCAAAACGGCTGAACTGATTAAGGTTTAATTTTGCACACATGCATGTTAGACAAGGATAAGTTCGAAAATGACAAAAATCACAATGCATGAGTTCAACGATACAAGTTATATTTTTGGATACAGATTAAAAAATATTAGAATTGGAAGGTAATACAAAAATTTAGTTTTATGTTCCATCCTTTTAATCCAATCCCTAAGTACATCATTCGTCAATAACGATTTAAGATGTGCACTTATAGATTCTTTAGATTCATGTCATAAAATTACAATAATGAGTAAATCAAATCCCACATATATAAACAGAACTCGACCATTCATGTCATAGCTTTGCTATAAGATTCATCTTCATCACAACATCATGAAACAATGTAACTTAAGTTAGTTATACTTTAAAGTACAGCATACAAAAATCTGGCTTCAAATCCACCTTACAAACACTTCCCTGTTCTGAAAGATTAACTCATAATTTAACCGGGATTCCTATGTTTTACCACTTCGAGCCTCTGCTTCGCCTTTTTTCTGCAAAAGCTTGTTCTCCTTCACACTCCTTAATGCAATCTACTCCTTTGAATATTGGCCAGGAATTACTGTTCTCACAATTCTTCCACACATTTATTACCTTACATTGCTTTGCTGACAGGTCATAATGATAGCCGTCCTCACCGACTCTCATGCATCCGGTCATATTATTATTCCGACCACCTGCACAGATCAAAATTGGAATGCAGTTAAACGATCGGGAATCATAATTAACTTACGCGCAGTCGGAAATGGTTTGTACACATTTGATTCCACGAAAGGGGACACAAATTTTAAAGCTATGATAAGATGCATTAAAATTTTCGAACATGAACGCTGACAGAGAAAATCGTAATTTATTGTGAAGCAACTGACCAGCTTAACTGTACGGGTTAGGAAATTAAAGCTGTGTTTTATTAGGTAAGAAAAAATGAAGCCGTAAAATGTGATGTTCAATTGTGTTAAGTTTTAACGGGGTCCCACGTCCGGTTGTACCACACATAATGCGAATGCATTTGCCATTTTTATTATTAAATTGCACAAAATAGTAATTTTGTAAATTCGGACAAAAATTTAGAACCCGACTCTTACCCTGACTCGGGCTACGAGAAGTCTGCCCTATAAGTTATTGCAGTTGAAGTTGATCTCTGCCATAAAATAATACACAACGTCACCGAGCCAATAATGGTTTCCGGTGATGAAAGGAACAAGTGAAAGTGAAGGAGAGAAAATGGGAGAGAAATCATATTTTGTCTCGTTTTTTTTGTAAATGAGTCGATTTGGTAGTGGGTCTAAACTTTCTCCACTTTTGGCATCACGCGTGCTCTTGCTTTTTCTCCCATGTTATGAAATGACCACTTTTGTCCTCACCCATGTTATGAAATGATTGTTACGAGCAAATTGGCTGCATGACTTCTGTCCAGTCTGAGTGGGTGGGTGGAACCAGTGTTTCGGGGAATTGGTGAAAAATGGGTTGGATTAGCGAATAATCGGCCGAAAAGAAAATATTGTGTGCGAAATTTAAAAAAATACATGAAAAAATAGATTTTCATCCGTTGTCCCAAAAAATTCAGGCAAAATTTATTAGCAAAAATACACATTTTTACAAATCCCGATAAAAAATTGCAAAATTCGATTTAAAACGCCACTTTTTTACTCAGCAAAATTAATATTTCTAGATTTCAAAATAATTAGAGGTGCAGATTCGCATTTTGCTCTAAAATTTGCAGTGTCCGTTACACTCTTCGCCGACTAAATTGCAGTCTATTCTGCAAATTGCAGAAAAAACTGCAACTCGCACTTTCTCCCATTTTGCACACCACTAGAAACACTGCATGTTGCCAATATTCCATGTCTTTCCGGCTTTCTCTGTAACATGGTCTGAATCAAATGGTCGTTCCCTCTTTTCTCTCGACTTTCCCTTTCACTGGCCAATTTGCAATTTATTCTGATTGCTTTTTGAACTCGTACTTGCCTTCCTGCTGGTTTAATTTCACGGGACAAAACTTGCCCTCTAAATTTTAACAGAGTCTCTTTCTCTCTCACGTCATTATCGGGTCTCTCTCTCTCTTCTCCAGAGGGGTTCGTTCCGGTGTGTCAGAAACAAATAACTCCCGCCACCGAGTATACCTACACCCCAATTTGAATAAAATTCAACAAATATTCTTCAAAGGGAGAGAAATTGTTGTACAGATGCCATACATAAATTCTCCTATCAAAGAGTGAAAGCAGACATAATTCCACTTTTACTTTCATCAATTCATACCATTTTCCAGGTCGGTCACCCTAAAAGAAGCGGGAAAAGAAGTAGATAATTAGTGTAGGAGGTATCGTGTTCGTAACGATATTGGGTAAAATTAAATTCCCGCGAAATGAAATTTTTGTGTTATACTAATTTCTCATCGTGGAATATTGAGGCTTTTAAAAAATCATTAATAACATTGTAAAATCCGTAAATTCTGTAAAGTTTTACAAACTTTTACAAATATTTCTGAGGAAAATTAGCTTACAAATTTTTGTAAACTTGCTCCGATCAAGGGCGCCTCTTTAATTTGTAAAAGTTTGTAAAACTATTTTACAAATCTTCCGGATTCTACAAGTTCCAAATGACTGCATAAATTGCCTCAATGAGTTTGCTTCACGCAACAACAAAATTCCCCAGATTCTTTACAACCAATTGTTACCAACTCAGTAACAAATTTTCTTACCCCATTATTTAGCGTGTCCCAGTTTATTATTCCGTTTGGTGGTCACTTTGTATGCATTTTGTATCTATTCAGGGAAAGTTATGGGATGAGATACATACCCAAACCACACGAAAGCTTCTCTCTCATCCTGTCGAAATTCTCGCATATTTTTAAATACTTCAGATCCCTTTAAAATTCGAGCAGCCAGCCTGAAAGTGAGCCGTCCTCCCGCCTTTACCGAATTGATTTCCTACCGTTCAATGAATGCAAGTATCTGTAAATAAATATGTAGTCGTCGCATTACACAGGCTTGTACACGTTTTGTGTTAACGACTATGTGCCCACCCGCCCGCCCGCCTACACTACAGAACATGACGGAGGACCAGATTGGGCCGGAATTTTTATGGACAACGAGCTGGTGGATAGATTTATTGCAGAGCTACGTGTCATTTTTGATTTTTTGGGGCTGCACGTCACCTCCGTCTTTCGTGGTGGAAGGAGATGATACGATGAACTGTATTTCAGCGTGACCAGGAGGGACCATCTAATATAATAAGGACGAGGAGGGGGACAGGGTTCCGTTATTTAGTGGGTGAAATGACCTCAATTCGAAACTTCGAAATTTGTTCGAAATTTTACGAATTTTCTTGCTTAGGAGGGGAGCTTGCGAGGTTGATAATAACAGATATTGGTGCCCTTTGGATATGTGGTAGGGACCCATGAGTGTACTAAAACCCTGAAGTAGTTTGACTCCATGGCCACATTTGCGCCCGCCACACCCACTCAAAAATGTCCAAAAAACGCTTTCACTCCAGTTTTCACTCACTCAAATCCACGCCAAAAATCCAATTTTACTCGGATTTTGAAATTTCTTTCACCATTATACTCCCAGATAGTTGCTTTCTTCAATCCAATATCAAACTCAATTTTTTCGAAATTTTTAGTATTTTTAAAATTTAAAATTCTGAATGAGCATTGTTGTAGTCATCAACAAAACAAATTATGTTTGCGAAATAATCATCAATAAAATTGAGTTTGATATTGGATTGAAGAAAGCAACTATCTGGGAGTATAATGGTGAAAGAAATTTCAAAATCCGAGTAAAATTGGATTTTTGACGTGGATTTGAGTGAGTGAAAACTCGAGTGAAAGCGTTTTTTGGGCATTTTTGAGTGGGTGTGGCGGGCGCAAATGTGGCCATGGAGTCAAACTACTTCAGGGTTTTAGTACACTCATGGGTCCCTACCACATATCCAAAGGGCACCAAGATCTGTTATTATCAACCTCGCAAGCTCCCCTCCTTAGTAATTTAGTAAGTAATATTGATTCGAGTACTTTTTATAAATCAAAGCCATAGAAGGTATCTTTATTTATTTGACTAATTAATTATTTGGAAAAATTTGTTGTTGGATTTAACATTTACAAATTTTCTAGCTAATTAACTATTGATTTCTTAAAAATGTTGGTGGTCTATGAAATGAAAATTATGAAAGTTTTCAGTAAATTTTGAACGTTTTGAAAATTCTTCGAAGCAAATTTGTCTTATGGAAGATCACTCGGCAGATGCAAAATAGTAACTTGTGATGTTTCCAGCATTTTTAAATACTAATCTTAACTTAAGATTCTTAATTAGTAATTTTTAGTTAATTCTCAATTAAATATCCATCCATCTACTTCACGCTAATTTGACTCCACCACTACATTAGTGCACTTAAAATTTCTTAATTTTAAATTCCTAGTATTTAAATTATGCAACTTTCACATGAAAAATCCCTGAATTAATTTGCAATTAAATTGCACAAACATAAGAACAATCTGTTCGCATTTTTACCCATTTTCTCGCTCAAAACTAACTGTCCAATTTCACCCTGATGGAACCCTGCACATTTCTCCCAGAGAGGAATCATAATCCGATTGCTTCAACAAAACCGGTTAGTTATGGATGGGAAATGATATCATGTCAGAATTCTGGTGAAAGTAGAACCCTCGGTGAAAGTGTATTCCAAAAGGTCCACATTTTTTTCCCGACATAACTGCACTACAACATTTCTCTTTTGGGCGAAGAATGCTGCCACGATCGAATATTTCGACCTGATGCTACATACGTACCCTCAAACAACAAAATTCTTGTAATTCTTACCCTCTGACGCAATTTTGCACACAGTTGGTCGGTCATCCAGCGTGTGCATGCATTGCACACATGTCGAATGGAAAAACACATCCTATTTTGAACCATTTTGCAAACAGATGTATGTATAGAAATTGCAAATCTGCTTCTTAATCCTGATTAAAAAATTTAAGAGGGCACATTTTCATCACAGAAATTATTATGGGACCATATTAAACCCAATTTAGCGAAGAATTGCTCAATTTCTTCCTCTTTGATGTCGTAATTTAACCCGAAATTAATTAAAGTTGCGTAACTTTATGGAGTTCAATGTCGTAAGAGGTCAGGTCTCTGGGGGAAATTTAGCTGAAATGAGAAATAGTTTATTATGATTATTACTACGAAGATAGTGTAATTATCGTTAATTAATAAGGTTATTATTATGAATGTATGTATGTAACTCTGTTTATTATTTTGCAGCCTTAAGGTGACCTTTTCTTGTATGATGGACCTCTCGAAATTTCCTCTTGACAGACAAATATGCACGATGGAGGTGAGTTAACAGGAATTACTTATTTATTAATATTAAATGACGTATTACTTACTTGCATTATTTGATTACTTATTACAGGTGGCCAGCTGTAAGTTTACGTCATTTTCTGTCCAAGTTTTTTCCTAATCAGTTTCTTGAATCTATTTGACAAACAAGGTTTCGAAAACTGAAATTGTATCGTAGCTGCGAGTAGTTGCGAGTTTTGTAATAATCTCATTTTTCCCAGATATATATTACGTGACATTTAGGAAATTAGGTTCGTCTCAATTTTACGAAAGTTAGTCGGATACGCTCTTAACTTTGGCAAATGTGGTTATTTAAATGCGGTTATTTAACGGAGTTAGTAGACTCACTTGGTTATTGAGTTTATTTTGATATAAACTTAGAAAATTAGTTTTTGTCGAAGTTACACTCTAAATGATGTGGTCATAAAATTGTTACAGAGTTGGTAGCGATTTGATACCTATAACTGTCGAAAACTAAAATTTTCGAATTAATTTTCTCGTCACAGTGTGGCAAAAAATTGGAAATTCATACTCATTATTACTACCGTTCAGTATAGAGTAGCTACCAAAGAGAGTTCTGTTACCACCCAATTTGGCGTACAATGCGAAATAATTTTATCTCCGAGTAAATGAAATGTCCCACTTTTTCAGTTTCGAAAACGGTGGAGGAGCTGATTCTCGAGTGGAATCCGGAAGAGCCCATATCCATCAAGGGACTCGGAATGAGCCAGTTTGAACTGCAGAAGATTGTGCCGAGCAAATGTCACGAGGAGTTCCAAATTGGTAAGGCCAACTAAATCAGGCACGTATGTAAGACGATGCATGAGACGACCTCGGTGGGGACTGGGAACAAAACATGTTTCGTACATACACTTGTGTGTGTATTGAAATTTCCAACTTACGACAAACTTTCAGACAAAAAAAACAAATTACAAAAAATCCTGTATTATATTAAACACAAGACTCCCCATTTCTTCGTTTTCATTTCAATATTTAAACTCAAATATTTTTATTAACGGCGTTTAGCCTTACAAAAATATATTTATTAAAGCTTAACTTTTGGATTACTCCCAGTAGCTCGAGAAAACATACAAAACTCATCTCCGAAACCCTCCGGGGTTAAATGACACCAAATAATTTCGCCCACTTTCACCCATTCATATATATTCCCCAAAATTGCTTTCCCCACCCACACCTTCCCTAAATTTAGCCTCCCACTCTCTCCCTCTCTCTCATCATCCTTCCTAACTCAATACACGTATTATAACTCAATTTACACAAATCCTACGTACACTTTCCCCTATGAAAAAAGATGAACCGTATAAATGCAACATTGATGAAATCCTGTTGCCTCACGCAATCCAATCCAAACTAAAACTAGACACACTTTCACCAACAGATTCATTATTCTCGGGAGAAAACTGGCAAATTTTTTCTTCTCTTCTTGTCCGCCTTCCTTTCTCTGCCTGAACAGCACATGGAGAAAGTAAAGTTTATTCCCCAAGGCTTATCCACCTCCGTCCGTCCCACCCTATTCGGCAGGATGTAGGATGAATGCAGTTGCCTGTGCCGTTAGACTTATTTTCCCGTCAATTAATAAATATGAGCCAGGCAAAACAAACCAAACCAACCAACTGCGGCCAGAAGGCGAACGGTTAGTACATAAATTGTGTGAAGTGAAAGCACGTGCTTTCTTCCGACCAAAAATAAATATCTGAATATTTTCCTATTTTTATCCTCATGACGGATCGTTCAGAGCATTTTCAGCACGGATTTATTTACTAGAGGAAAACTAAAATTGTGTGGAAGCACGTACTTTCTCCGTTTAAAAAATAGTCGAAAATAGCGTATCTAATTTTTACCCAGATTTTGAATCTTTACTAATTTTCTTAAAGAATTTCCGTGATTTAATTTATTTACTAGCCGAAAACCAAAATTGTGTGAAAGTATGTACTTTCTCCGTTTTAAAAAATAGTCAAAAATGTCATTTCCAATTTTTACAGAATTTTTCATAATTTTCCTAAAAAAAATACCACGTGATATATACACACTTCCATTCAGCTTTCACTCATCGCTTTCTTTTTTCCCTGCATGCATCAAAACAAAAAGAGTGTAAAAGCTCAAGAGAAGTGACGGATGGGATCAAATCGGCTCTTTTCTGCTCTCTTTAGAACTTTCGTTATGGTCCCATTCTGCCAAAGTAGCGTAAAAAACTAACACCCAAGAAGAAGAATCTGGGAGATTAATAATTGATCAGTCGGCAGCCAAGGTGGCAGCCAGGCGCATTTTATTTTCAATGTTATTGAAGCAATAAAATTTTTTGCGGGGATGGAAAGAGATTTTTCCTCTTTCTTGAAGGATTCACTTTTCCTTTGAAAATGGAATGCATAGAATTTGTAGTTATGTACTTTATGTATGTACTTCCGCATAGCGGATAAAATACCTGGGCGTTGGGCATGGAACTTTTTGCGGTTTTTCTTTTGAAGGTTATCAGTAGTAACGTGTCATGTCAAAAGAAGATGATGCCAGAATAAAAGGGAGAATAAGAATTGGACACTTTCCAAGAATGTGGTGGCAGTGCAGAATTTTTTTTCTTGTAATTTTGGACAATTGCCCGATATGTACATGTTTATTTGGCACTCTTAGAAATCTTTTTGCAGATGTGTGTAAAAGGGAGGGAATATTTTGTGTTACCAATTTGGTAATGTTTTTCCAATCAATTTAAGTTTTATCGTTTTTTCTTGTAAATTTTGCAACTTTTCTGTTATCAATTTTCTGCACTTTGTCACCATTTTTATATTAATTATTTTGCCGGTCAACTTGGCTTTCTCTATCAAACTTTCAGTCACATTTTAAAAATAATACATGAACATGAGTATTTAGTGGAAATTAGAAGAACTAGTTTGGACTTTATTTTCTCGACCTTTCTGATGTTATTCTGCATTAATTTTCAAAAATTCACAAAAAATATAAATAAATTTGATTTGATTTTCGACCCCATCTTTCAGAGTGCTTCTCACATTTATTCGCATCAAGTGAATAAATTGCCCCCAATTGTCTCCATCCATCACGTCCTAAATACAACACGCATACAATTATTCCACACTCCTACAACACTTCACACTTCATCATAATACACTTTCCCTCTCACTTTCAGGCAACTACTCCTGTCTCGTGGCGGAATTCCACTTATATCGCTTACTCGGCTTTCACCTGGTGCAGTCCTACTTGCCGACGATTCTGATGGTGGTGATCTCCTGGGTGTCATTCTGGATGGATGTCAACTCTGTCCCAGGTCGTGTCACGTTGGGCATCACTACGCTCCTCACCGTCTCCTCCAAGGCGACGAGTAAGTCATTATTCTGTCCCGCGTTTGCTGAATTTATTTTATTTTCTCCTTGGTTTTCTTTGATTAAAAAACTTTTCCTGGCACATTATCCGCTTCATCATCAACAAATCTAATCCAGGAGGGTCATCTTTTCTTTGGTTTGGTTCTGTAGATCAAGGCGCCATCGAATCCAGTTACATCAAGGTAAGTAATCAAGTTTGGCGGTGGTGGTGATGTATTGTTTTGTTTGTTAGGATTGATATTTTTTTATGGAATTTTGACGAAAATTTTAGGCCCTTGATGTCTGGATGGGAAGTTGTACTGGTAAGAGCTCGTAAATAGTTGGGTTTTTAGGGGTTTGGAGATTTTTTTCTGACAGAAATGTTGAATTATTCGCAGCATTCGTATTCTTGGCCCTGTTGGAGTTTACCGTGGTTAATTATCTCTGGAGGAAAGAATGCTCGAGAAATTGGCAGGTGGGTGAATCACTAGAAAGTAGAGGTGTGCTTGCTGTATGAAAATGCAGCATGAAAATAAATTTTCGGCATTCTCGGCAATAGATTTTCTAAATAGTTGTATAATGTTTAAACAGGGCTTGTAAATAAAATATAAATTTTCCTCACTACACGTTATGAGCATGTCTCGTGTAATTTCATTTTGTGTACGAAAGTACTCTAAACTACATTATGGCATTGTGGACACTATGTTACATGCATTTGTTAAATTAAAACATTAACCTTATTGACAAACAGGATATCCCATTATAAATTTATGACGCAACAATACCAAACATTGAACGTAATATTGAAACTAATGAAACTATCTATATCATCATTTTATGTATTAAAAATTATTTACAAAAATAAGTACAGGAATTAAACTATCACTTTTCTTAAAACTCGAGTATAACAATTTTGTAAATCTTCGTTAGTATATGTGCTTAAAGTCTTAAAATTTGTAGCTCATTTCTAACCCATATCATATAGCGACCCAATTCATTCTGATATTTGTATATTTTGTAAAACTATTTTGCAAACTTTTACAAATAAAGAGACATCATTAATTTTACAAGTTTCCAGTAAATTTACCCGACTTTCGATACAAAATCTTCCTAAAATTGAACGAATTTGATAAGCTTACAAATATCTGAGTGAATTGCTTCATCAAAAATATTTACAAATTGATTTTACTGCCTCACAATTTTATTTCATTTCCAATCTCATTTTCTCTTTCCAGCGGGTGAAAGCACAGCACAGTTGCTCCGCCGATTTCATGCAGAACAACCACTCTGAAAATATCGGGCGTTCGCCCTCCAACCACTCCATGCTGGTACGCAACCATTTACAAAAAAAAAGAAATATTTTTTTTACAAATTTCGAAATTTTTTCCCAAAATTTTGAATCTTTGTTTTTCAGCAAATGAAGGAAAAACCACTCGGCAATTCGATTGAGATGAGCGTCAGCAATTTTGTGGATCGTAACGACAAGAGTCACTACTTGGGCGTTGTTGACCAACCTGTAATTCCCGTCGAAGGGATCAACGTCGTGGAACCGTTCGCCTCCGTGATGAATTGTCAACCAAATTACAAAGAGAGAGCCAAATCAATTGTAAGTGTTTAAATATTTGAACAATAAAAAATGAGATGTGTAAATATATTTGACTATTTTTTGCAGGACGAGACCTGCAGAATCGTGTTCCCCTTATCGTTCACACTATTTATCATACTTTACTGGAGTTATTATCTCATTGCGTAAAAGTTTTTGGTTATTCGTTTCGAAATTTCTTCAAGAGTTTGCACTAATTTTCAACTTGTTAATGGAATTATTTTAATTATGGTCAATTTATTCTTAAAAAAATTGCATACATATTGTAGAAACTAACAGGATTTTGTCATTGGTACATACATAATTATGTATTTTTAGAATAAATTAGTGACCTAAATATTTAAGAGATCTGTGAGTGAAAAATGGTGTAATTTAATATCTACAAATTGGTATGGTTAAATACCTGTAATTATTAATGGGTAAGACTAACATTAAAATCGTGCTAATTTATATAGATGATAAAATTATGTGTTGCTCTTGAAAAATCAGGCACGAAGTAATTAAGAAAAATTATAAATTCCTTGTAAGCTATTTAAGTAATAATTCACTCGCAATTTGAACATACACAAAATTTTAAGAAAATGTGTATTTCGTTCTTCTTTCAATACTGTATTATCATGAAAAAAGAGGGCCTTGCACTTCAGCGAGGGCGACAACATATGGGTTTATCGGGTCCAAACGTGATGAAATCAAAAAAAGGAAGAAAAAAACGTATGATTTTTGTATTCCATAATTATCTACAATTTTAACCTCCTTCTGGCACAAACTGGGCAGGAGATGTATTTCATACTTTAAAAAATTTACACATGAATTTTTCAGAAATTATATTGACCAATATCTAGCAAAAGTGCAGTAGAAAGTAATTCACGTCAAAATTAAAACGAAAATTATGTATCAGAATAAATTTATCCAGATAAATCAGAAATTGTAAATATGTAAATGCACTATAGCTTAGTGTGTACTGTGTATTGCGACCTCGTAATCCTAAAAAAACACTCACGGCTCTTTAATAAATGTGATCATACAGTAAAAAAATAGTAAATATCTACTAAAATATAAATAAAATACTTATTGTTAGTATGCACGTGATATAATGGGGTATATTTGAATGTGTGATATTTCAAAAGTTTAAATAAAATCTTAATATCACTGAAATTTGAAATTATATGTAACAAAATTTATGTAAGTGATTGTAAATGTCTCGAATAAATGCAATGTGTGTCTTTAATACAAATTTGTGCATTATTTATTTTATTTATCACCAGAAACTCTCCGAAGTTTTTAAAAATATATCGAAAATTGAAAAACAGAAACATACAAATATCACCAAAATTTAAGTGATTGTAAATGTCTCGAATAAATGAAATCTGCATTTTTACTATACATTTGTGCATTTTTTGTCACCAAAAACTTTCCAAAGTTTTCAAAAATATATCGAAAATTGAAAAATGAGAAACACATAAATTTCCTTGTCCCATGTGAGCATCATTTTCTGCATACAAATCACTACCCAACAATTTGGCATGCACAAACATACATGACTTGACAGCGTGCACATGGAAAAGTGTAACATACGTAACGGAATATGACAGCCACATAGATAAAACGAATCTCTGGATGAATTTTGATACCAGATTTTCCACGTATAATCACTGATTCGTTATTAATCTGCAAATGCTTAAACGTCATAATCAACTTTATTGTGTACAAAACGAGTAAATATTCCAGAGTGAAAGTCGACTTTCTCTCTTCATCCGCAGTTTATTTGAAATGAAACGGATTCAAATTTCATTTCGTTGCACGTCAACGGGCAGAATTCAGAGCAAAATTAGATCTTTTTGTATGTTTCCAAGTGGAAGTTTACAATTATGACTATTCGTTTCGTGGAATAATTTGAAATTTAATATTCCTTCGTACGGTTTCCTACGATGAAATGTGTAGTTATTCAAATGAGGTTGTGTTCCTGGGTGGCATATTGTTTCAAGGAAATACATATCTGCGTGTGGGTGATGACATTATTTTACTTCAAAATTCATCAATTATTCTAATGGAGCTTTTCAAATTGTCGGAAAACATAGAAATACGCGAGACTCGTAATAATTAAATGGGTAAATAATTTCTGAATATTATCACAATATTCAGAAATTATTATTATAAAAATTTTACTGTTGCATTTATTTTTACACACAATTTGGCATAAAAGCGAGCTCGACCAATCTAAATTAGTAAACTTTAAAATTGAATTTGAAATATGGAATTAGTGACGTTTTATCTCTGCAAGAAAAATAATTGCAATTTTACACTGCAAAAAAATACCAAAAACGCTTCCGGAAATTAAAATATTATAGCTATTCGAATTTCCGATAGTGGAACAATTTTTTTTTAATTCGAATTTTTTTAAAAACTGGCTTTAACCTAACCTACAAAAATAAAATTATGGTTGTGCTACGAATTGAAAATAAATAAATAAATCTCACATTCTGTCCAACATTTCCCCTCAATCTAATCAAAATCCACCCACAATCTCACTTTTCCATTCATGATTACGCCCCAACGACGTGACGAGCAAGCTGGACGAGTATTTGAAAACAAAACAACAAAACAAAGCCGTAAATGAAGTGATAGAAGTACTAAAACCAAACTATCATTATTATGACTCTGGCAGTGAGATTGCATCACTCGAGAATCCGACTGGAATTTACAATTTGTACTTTAGATTAGTTTCTTGTTGTCAAATGGGGTTGATTTCGTGGCTGAGGAGTTGTTATGGTTCCTGATCCTGATATGTCACAGGGGACGAGTCGATAAAGTTACCCGTGTTCCTACTACGAAATTCGTAAGGAACAAAATCCATAACATTTTAAAGTGCAATTTTTGTGCAGGAAAAACCATGACGTATGCGGGTTGTGTATTAATTTTGGGCTACAAATCACCCTAAAGTACAGCAAAATGAATAGTAAAATTGGTAAAATGAATTTGAGATGTACCATGCAATAATTTTGTATGTTAATTTGATAATGATTCCTGTTTAAGATGAAAAATAATTTTTCATAAATAATAAGTGAAAGTAACCTCAAATTGCCAATATCCAAGACGTGATACTCGGACGACCGGGACTCCGCTGGGGTTGTGTCGTCCTCATCAAGGGGAATTATTGTCATCGCTTCGACAATCCCGTCCAATTCGGGTGTCGAAGCTTCAGAGATAATTTTACTTTCCTGTGATTTGAATTTTTCTAAAATTAGTTTATCTTCCGCAATTTGTGTAGATCTCGGGGTTGATGTGCGCGTGGTGGAAATTGCACCCAGCAAATTATGGGCTATACTTCGGCCGGTTTCCGGCTGCTCGACGACTGGGGATGTTTTGATTGATTGTTGAATGATACTTATCCATTTGTGATTTTTGTATTCCTTTCTCCTCTAGAAACAGACGCCTACTTGGTGACTAATTGACCACGGCCTGACGCACATATTCGTAAATGATATCCAGCAATTGATTTTATTTTTATGCGGTGCACAGTTTTTTACACGTGTGCTAAAGTAAGTAATAAATTTAGCATATTTGTGCAAATACATTTGTACGATATCATGCAAACCTTATTTTGCATACGACAAACAAAACAACTAGTACAACAGATTCATTAAATATATAATTCGTCAATCATTGGCACCGATCGCGATCCACCAGCTAATATGTTCATGCCCCTTAATGGTTACTTAGTTCGAGATAAGCAGGAAACAATAGGATGCATGTCTTAAAAATGGACCGAGTAATATGTCAAAGTAAACAGTAGCAAAGCATCTATTTGTGCATTTATGCATCACATCGCAGGTATATTTCAGTGTAGCTACACACATTTTACAAAGTTTTGTAGGCCATCCATTTCACACTACTTACAACGGATAAGAAAGTAAATGGAGAATTGATTTGATCAGAATAGTTAACGTTTGGAAAAAATCATCCACTTTCGCATAAAGTTGAGTTAAATTCTGATTTAAATCGCTGCTAAATAAGAAATATTTATTTAAAAAAAACATATTTTTTAAGATATTAAGATCATTGAAATATCATGAGAAGCATGTAATGCAAACTTGATGTACCCCGAGTCCATCATTTTCCGGGTTAGTTAGAGTGGACACGCAATCGAAGGGGTGAAAGCATCTAATTGTTTGCACACAGGTGAACAAGAAACAAGACACGAGTGAGACTAATTTTTTCATGTTTTAAACTACTTTCCGTTTCGGACTAGATTGTCTTCCATAAACGGAAAGACTGGTGCAAAATTACACAATCAATCAAGAATTTCAGCCGTAGTGGATGAATTTTAGATTTTTAAATCATGCATTTGAGCACTCCCTGAAATTTTAATTATAAAAGGCATTAACAGAATTATCTCTAAATATATAAGTATGCTCTCCTCTTTTAGGTCCTTAGCTTAGCAAAATATTCGTTAGGCACGCCATATTAAGAGTGAAGCAGTAATGCCATTTTATTTTCTGTTAAATTAATTTTTCATCAAGACGCCAATTTATATTGAGTATATTCATATCGTTGTGTTACTTCGAAAATTTCAGTTTATTCGCATCATCTGTAAAAATATTGTTATTGCGGTGAAAATTTATTTGATGTGTTATTAAAATATTGGTATATCCCTAGCTAGGCATCTCAAACAAAAATTTGTTCCTGCAAGACAAACTTACCACAATAAAATTAAAATTTAAGTATACCTACTTACAATCAACAATCAAACCTGTCTAATAAACAGTTAATTAAATAATGTTGTTACAAATTTATAAAGTTCCCAACTTGAAAAAAAATTAAAAAATAAGTAAACACATCTTTTTTTAATAAATTGTGAACTTGAACTCCAATAATAATATTTTGTATAATAATATTTTTTTTGTATATAACCAACAATAGGTCGTTTGCGTTGAATTTATTATGAATTTATTTTATTTATTATGAATTTATTATGAATAATTGATTATTATTAATTGATGCGATCATATCTTTCAGTGAAATCATTTCCTCATATATAGAATTTTACAAGTTATATTATGATACTAATTACTCCAAACCAAACTAAATCATATGCACAAAATTCATCACAAACATGAATTTATATTGACTATTTAATTGCAAGGATAAATTTATTTTTGTAGTTTGATTCAAGAATTAAACTTTGAACAACAAATCCAAGACAAGAATTTTTTTGTTCATAACTTACTAAATACTTTCAATCCGATAATAATATCTACGTAATCTTAATACATACTTTAAAGTGTAAGGACTGTCATTCATAAATTTAATTTTTACAAAACGTTCAATTACCAAACTTTAGTTAAATTCTAGTCACGATGCATATCATTTTATCGCTTCCAAAATCCAGTTTATTCGCAACCCTGTAACATCATTATTCCATCACCGTTTCATTTACGGTCCTCTCTTTCTCTTATCCAATCATGATTCATACCCCCACATCCTATCCCTCATCCTGATCAAGTTATATAAATACATAACATAACACGGTGACACGGTCATTTCAAAACTTTTGCAATTTGTCACCCACAAAATACGAGACATGTCATCTCATAAAATCTCGAATCGTGCCTGGTTTGGTCTTGAATTCGATGCCAGGTGAATTTTCAAACAACAAGAAAACAAGAACTACTCGTTTCCTGACTCACGACAGACACAAATGTCACAAGGCGACGTTTTATTGCCTTTCACTTTCTCCTGTCTGTCAAAACTGTCGGAGAAAAAGGTTACGGCATGATGATGAATTACCTGCGGCATGGGAACGACAAGGTGACTTTCTAGAAAAAATAACGTGAAGAAAAACATAGGAATCATTTTTTTCTAAAAAAATATGATCTACTTTCGTCAAATACCGTTTAACCAGACACTGTAAATAATGGGCTAGCAAAATTGTGACAGGTGTGTCATCGGTAACGTTTTGTTACCATAAATTCAAATTTTTCACCTTAAATTTACCCCAAATCCAAATTTCCTATCCAATTATTGCCACCATTCAGCTACAAATCGTCACCAAAATGGTATCCGCAATACCCAAAATTTTATCCCCACATTATTTCCAATGTATGCCATCGGTGACGATTTGGTACCGAACAGTTACCATAATTTTGCACCAAATTCAAATTTATCACCTCAAATTTACCCCAAATTTTAATTCCCTACCCAATCATCGCTACCATTCAGCCACAAATCGTCACCGAAATGCCACAATTTTATCCCTCCATTATTTCCAGTGCATTTTCGAGGCCGGACGGAAATCCTACTTAATATTGACTCATGTCAAGTTGGTCCCCTTTTTCAGATTGAGATTTCCTCCCATTTTATTGACACAATGGGATGAGTTTTGGTTCGTGGATAGAGGAAGATCAAATAAATGTCTTCACGGGAAAGAGAGAAAGTCCTCTTTCGAGTTGTCCGGTATTAAATGTAAACCTGTTTTATTCAGGATTTGATCCAGCAGCTTTCTTCTATTCCTGGTCTGGCTGGGCTATGTGTGTCTCCAGTCTGCAGTGCTATTCATCTCATCTCATTGTGTGCAGATTTAAGATTTGTCTCTCTCTCTTGAAAATAGGCAGATTTCTCTGGGGAGGGAGACACACAAGCTCAAAGGCTTACAAATTCAAAAGATGATAAGTCTTAAATCTCTGATGGGAGAAGAATGGGGCAAGAAACCGGGGCAAGAAATGTGGGACAAATAATAATAATAGTAAATATATGAAATGTATTTTGAGACTTTCTCCGTCTCCGTCTCATCTTCCCCTCACTCAAGTTATGTGTACGTTTGAAATAGAATTTAGAATTGGATGGAGGAAAGCATAAATATTTTACGGGACCACTTTAAACGGGAGAGAAGAGAGACTGTTATGTTATAAAATAAAGTAGGCGTCATCATCATCATAACTTTTGACTGGGGGCACACTTAGAAATTTTGGGACCCAGCATGATGTCAATGTGTCGGCTTGGTAGGTCAGTTTTGATGTGATTACAAAAGTTTTAACGATACATCTATGTAACTTAAGTTATTAGGGTGTCCCAACTTTGCAAAAAAAATCGCTTTTTCAGCTCACGATTTTTTCGCTCTTTTTGTAAACCGCACTGCGCATGCGATTCCGATCTTTTTTCCGCTTTTTTCGCTCCAAAATAAAATCTACTTTAAGATGATTTTTTCGCTCTTTTTACTACTTTGAGTGAAAAATCAGTCTCTCGGAGACATGTTTAATGGGATATCACCCGATTTTGATGCCCTATGGATATGTTGCAATAGCAGGTGAGTGTATGGAAAGTGAAGGAGGATTTTACTCCATGGCCCCACCTGCGTCCGCCACACCCCCTGAAAAGCATTGCAACCAGTAAAACTACCGCATTCAAACCTTTGCCAAAAATCTTACTTTTATCCCATTTTAATAATTTTTGGATTTACATGATCTTAGATAGTTGATTTATCATATCCAACATGAAGCAAAGTTAAATTTTAAATGAAACTCGAAAGTTCCCTGACCACCCATTCTCTTCTAAGTATTCAAGAGATTAAAAATCGGGACAGTCAAGTATTGATCGAAAAAAGTGGATTTCAGATTTTTTAGCTTTTCGCTTTTTTAGATTTCTTTTACAAACTTGGGAGACCCTATTATTATAAACTATTTTTTTGAGTTTATGGCATCAAAGTCTCACAAATTTTTAGAATTGTCCAAAATCAAGTTCTGAAAATAAATTCACCTCAATGTAAAAAAAACTGTTTTTACGAAAAGTGTCTTGTTTTTATTTAGCATGACTTTATAATTTAATGAATTTAAATACGATATATTTCGTGAACTCATAGATTTTCACAAGCAATTTTTCTTAAATAGTAATGTATTTCTGTTTTAGAGCAAAGACGTGAATTTAATGGTTAGAGTTTGATTTTGGATAATTCTAAAAATTTGCGAGAGTTTGATGCCATAAAGTAAAAAAAGTATTTATTTTAATAATTTAAATTGAACAGGTCGGTATTGTATTCCTCGTACATAATTTCTTCTCCAAATTTTGTAAGTTTTTTTTTGATATTTACAAAAAATTACAGTCTACATATTTCCAATTAGTTTTAAAGTTTCTCACGAATTTTTATCCTGTCAAATTTCACCACCTCATTTCCAAGAGTGCATATTCCCATACGTGGGTGAAAGATGAAGGCGAATTCTCCATCAATTTCTCTACTTTCTCCATTATTCAGTACACAGACGAACGAATGACTAATGTCCTTGTTTGACGTGGCGTCATTTAAAATGGCTCTTTTTAACGGAGGTAATAAATTCCGGGGAGAGAAGTGGAGGAGGACAAGGAAAATAGGATCTTTTATAAGTTTAATTTCACGGCTTAATGTTTTCCCAGGGAATGATGATTACCTGGTTTTACGAGGCAACGAGAAACGAAACAATATGACCAGGTTTTATTCCTTCGAAAAGGTCCAATTACCACGGGAGCTGCTTTACGACGTGTTTGTTGTTCTTCTTCCGTCTCGGTCCGAAGTTGTGTGTGACATGTTTAATTTTGAAGATTGCGGAAGTATTTATTTACGTTTTGTATTTTGGGTGACAAATTGTTTACAAAATTTGAGGGATGCTTATAAAATTTGGACGCGTGGACATCCTGTTTCATTAAATTAATAGTAAATTCCGAGTCAAGGTTTATTTCAGGAAGTTGTAAATACCTGCAGATCAGACAGGTGGATGTTTCCGTGTTCAAGCTCTAACTAATTAATTTGTGGACCACGTGACTTATTTGACCCACAAAATTGTGCATTTTCAGATGACGAATAATTAAAAAAATTGGGATGCATTTTATTTTATAATGAATCAGCTTTTTCATAGTTTTGGATCTTATAAAAATTTAATTCTTCCACATTTACATAATTATTAATAACTTGATGAACAAACGCAAAATTCACAGTACATAGTTTTCGATAATTTGAGTATGTGTTATTTCTAAGAATAATAATATTTAATAAGTTAATTAGTAAACTTTAGTCGAGATTTATCCCAATTTTTAGCAAGCGAACCCTTGCACATGTCAGGATTCAATTATTTAGTAACGTTATATACGCTTCAATTACATACATGTTGATGTAATAAGTAAGATTTAGTATTTATTGGTCAAAAATAATCATCCAGTCATTCACATTTTTGTAAGACACATTTTCTCGTAGCAATTAAGTATGATGAGCATTTACGAAATTTACCATTAACAGATGTACATCGTTCATAGGCTGTATTTATGCATGCTCTTTGATAATGGGCATGATTTAAAATACACTAAAAACAAGATGGTAACAAAATCGTCACCGCATGTACATGAATAGTCACTTTAAAGCTCTACCACGCTGGTAAACATTTGCCTCCGGACACTACCGAAACTTTCTGCGAAATTCAAATTTGACACCTTCCGGTTAGAAATTGATTAAAGCGTTGTAGCAATTTTGAATCTGGCCGAAATTATGTATTGTTGGATCGAGTGACAATTTTTTTACCAACTTATTTTGAGTGTAAACATAAACAATACACTACTTAAAACTAGTAACTTTATATTAATTACAAATACAAAGAGCACCAAAAATTGTATATTTTGCTGTTCCACATTTAATTAGAAAGTGGCCCAAACTGTATATAAAAATTGTCATGTAAAGAACATTCATTGCTGTATCCTATCAGCCACAAGGGTAATAAATCGAATCAAATCAAAGTCAATAAATTTGCCCAAAAATTCTGGAAATTGTAACATTTTTATATGAATATATACACCTTAAAAATTATTTCGGTCAATATTTAAGGTACCACAAGAGAGTTGGCAAGGAATTATACCACTCACTTTGATTGTAATTTTCTCAGAAATTATAGTAGGTAGAAATTTGGTTCAAATACAAATTTTGTAAAAAATATACTACTCTAAATTTTGGTAAATGTCCCCTTTTGCTGTTACTTATACTTACGTATTTATAGCCAAAATAGTCGAACATGATGAATTTTTTTTAAAACGTCCTAGCGTCCAAACCATACGGAGCACAAATGTGGAACGACTCCCACATCGTGCGAAATAGTTTTACATGGGGAGCATAATGGGTCTCATTTCCATATTGTCTTCCATACTTTTCGAAATAGCATTTCTATACTTGCCCCTCCATATTATTTTATGTTTCTGAGGTCAAAAATGGTTCACATCTCATTACCTGACACAAATGAGCCCACAAACCGATTATACACCCTGCGGAAATATATAGTGACTCCAAATAACAACCATTATGACCTCAAAGTCCTCCCCCTCCATCTCGGGGAGCTCTTAAAAATACCCCAATGCCCTTGTTTCTATGCGGAGCTGTACTTCATGTCTTGACTCATGTTCTCTAAAAAATCATGTTGCTAAGTCCATAAAAAACTGAAATATTCAACCTCTTGTGGTACCTTAATAAGAAATAATAAATTTGAAAAAATGCGAAACATTGACGTCGAAGATTTAAAATCCATAAACAATGAGTTAAAAAACATACTATTCGTAGGGGAGATCTTGGCAACTGCTCCCAAGGAAAAATAAAGTAAATTTATAAATTTTAGGTTCCTTGTGTATATTTAATTATGTAATTATTTACGTAAATATCTGTATATTTAACTTTCCAACATGACTTTGTCACCATTAATTATATTACGAAATTAATCTAGTGAAACGAGGACCTTAGATATCAACAATTTTACTTAATCAGGGTACTATTTTTAAAAATATATTTATCAAGCAACAAAATCTGTACAAATATAAATAAATAATTAACTTACTTCCAACCAGTGACGACTCTACCGAGAAGTTTATCTATTATGTAGTTCAATAACTATGTAAATTTATTTAAAAAAAACACCATCGGAATTAAACCTTACAAATAATCAATTTAACTTTATAAGTTTCCTCCGTTGAGTAAGTAAAGCCCTCTTATAGCTCGTTTCGAATACATGGCATCATCCATATCCTAAGTACAAATATCACACAGTGAGCCAATTCACTCAGATTTTTAGAAACCTTTTTTACACAGTTTATAAAATAACGAGACGCCTTCAATCTCTCTAAATCTTCAATACAAACATTTCCAACCTCATTTTCCTTCCAATATTTCTAAACTTATCAAGTTTTCACGGATTTTACAAACATTCCTCCTCAATTCCAACTTGGTCATTAAATACATTTCATAATATACGATTACTTAACACGATTTAATGTCTTATCACAAATTGTGTTCCAATTTTTTTCGTTTTCATAATTTTTTTCCAAAAAATCTCTCCCAGTATTCGGCTACGTCAACAAGTAGTACGGCCAGTAAATAAAGTTGAAGATTAAGAACGCGCAAGGAAATGCGAATCGACAGGTCTCATCCTGCAAAAAAAAAGAGAAAAATCAGTCAAATATTTGTATAAATGTCCAAATTCTTATATTAAAATAATTACAATGTGTCTCGCTCTGGCTTGAAAACTGAAAGAATTTCTGGAGGATAAAGGCTCCACAATGTTGATCCCTTCGACGGGCATGATGGGATGGTCCGAACCTAGGTGTGGGGTCAGATGGTGTTGTGCCGTCCCTTGAACGAACCTTGCTTCCAAATGATTCTTGACAACCATGCCGTCATCCCGGCGATCTTTTACCTACGGAGAAAGGAGAGGATTAAAATTTAAATATACTTACATTACATTCATCAAAAGATCAAAAGTCTAGACTTTTAGAAAAGAAGGTCACCCGTTTTATTGAGCATGCATAATAATCTTTTATCCGTTGAGTGATGCAATTCTTGAAATGGTTAGGTTACGAAAATAAAATCTGCCTAAAAGATTTGTAAAGAATTTATTCGAATTGAAAGAGGTCGCTATTATTTGGAGACAGGTTTTAGAATTTGGAGAATGACACTCTAAATAGTGTGTGCACTAAATAATTTAGTAAGGATTTGGTGATTGACAAAGTAATGAATTCTGTAGTAATTTGACAATTTGATTAATTTTCTCGGGAATAAATTTAAAATTTGATTAGTTTTCTCGGAAATATATTTTCTGCAGCACGGAAATGACTAAATTTGTAAAATGAGTTTCTGTCTAATAACAAATCCTTAGTGTGTCCTATTTATACTGGTAACAGTTTTGGTACTAAATACATATTTCACTATGTGGATTCATAAGTATTTATGTGAATTTATTACCAAATTGGTAACGGAATAGTGCATTATTTAGAGTGAGCCCACCCACCCAGATGTAAAAATACCACCGGCCGGTGAAAGGAATGGTGGCATTATGTGCTACTTCACAAGGAGAAAGTTGAGCACTTAAAGAAGAAGTTCAATTTATCAAAGGCAACCAATCCGTATTTATCAGATCGTTGCAAGTCTACTAAACCAGGACGAAATGTCCGACTCAATTGGCACATTCATACAGAGAGAAAGACGTGGAGAAAGTAGAAAAGGATTGAATTGAGGCACTCATCGACTCAAAATCAGGGTTGCCTTCGTTTTTCTCGCTTATGTCCGTATTAAAAATTGTACCCATTCATGTCAATTTTTTTACCTCTCATTTTGTAAATATCTAAACTTATCAATATCAAAATAAAAATCAATGTCAAAGTTGTTCATACTTTTCCATAATTAATTAATTGAACATTTTTATTGCTTATTTTTACTAATTTGGCAGCAATTCCGTCAAAATACATAAAAATTTAAGTAAACGTCAAAAAATTTGAATATCACAAATTTTAAAACATCAAAAATAAAAAAATTAATATTTGAAACATCAACAATTTAACGGGGCATTATAGTTTGCTCTGGCCGCTCTATCAGCCAATACAGTCTCTCGCTCAATATTTCTCCCGTATGTTACCCCATGCATTATTTTTTGCACAGGTTTTTGATCTTGTAATTCGAAAACCGAGATTAAATGTGCACTTAAAAATGTGAGACTTGATGTATTACAACTATTGATAGTTGCGCAACAAGGGAGCATGCCCTTTAAGGAATTGATATGCTACTTTTATTTATATTAATCAATTAATCTCGAGGAAAACAAAATTTTGATGGAAATTGATATTTGTCATTTAATATAAATAAAAGTAGCATATCAATTCCTTAAAGGGCATGCTCCCTTGTTGCGCAACTATCAATAGTTGTAATACATCAAGTCTCACATTTTTGAGTGCACATTTAATCTCGGTTTTCGAATTACAAGATAAACATTTTGCAATTTTTCCTGATTCGTCTCAACTCGTCATAGAGTATGTGTGGTGGGAAGCCACCACCACACATACTCTTCCCATTGGAAACCACTAAAAACATAAACAACTCCAAAAACTTTTTGCAGTTTTTTTCAAAAAATTCAAAATTCCCACTGAAACTTGTGAACTTTTTACCCCACCGAGTTCATCAGTTTCGCCACTATGTGATTTATGAGGATTGGTTTAACATAAAATATTGTCAATTCTTAAAGTATCACAAACTATTTGGCGTCAACTCGATCAAAATAAATAAAAGTTTAAAACGAAAAATTGAATTCACAAATTTAAAATCTCAGAAGTTTAAAATCCTAACAATTTAAACCATCAAAAACGCAGTTTACACCTGAATTTCTTAAATATCCATAAATTTCCGAACCCTGCCAAAAATTAAACCCAGCACCCTACTATTACACGTCCCACTCGCATTTCCTTCTAATACACGAGCAGAAAGAAAGCATTCATTTCGTTTCACGTCATTTAAAACTGAAGTGGTGAAAGTAAAGTGAAAACCGTTCAGTTTTATGGAAAAGATCAAAATGAAATAAAAAATGATTCGAATGTTTGCATGATTTCAATATATTTTACTTTCTCCTCCTGATTTTGACAGATGACAGTGACACGACCACAATCAACACGGCGTGAAAAACAAGGAGGACATTGAGCAATGACTGGAGATCAATCAATTTCACACCAAAGCGAGTAAAACAAGCTCCCCTTCTGTTTTTTTGTACGGGTTGAGAAACTGATCAAAATCTATTTTTTCTCTTTCCTGAGTGACAGCCAACTTGATTTTTGGGTGGCTGAATAATATCTCACTTTTTCCCACTTTGATTCATTCTTTCTTGCCGAAAGTTTGAAAAATGGTTGGGTTTTGGGTAAAGATCGAGCCACTCCGGACATGCTAATGACGGGAGAAACAGTGGGGGTTCGTTCTACTGATATGTGCTTTCTCTGAGATATGTAGAGGAAAGAACCTTGGTGAAAGTACACTAAATGATGTGGAAAGAAAATTGAGTAATAAATCAACTAATTCGGCTTTACCGATTTGGTAACTATTTATTGCTGAGTGGTGGCAATAGTTAGTCACCAAATTCAGGAATTTGTGATGAATTTACCTATATTGCAAAATAAATAATTTGGAACTTATAACAATGTTTTTTACCATGTTTTTTTTACAATGTGTTTTAATGTAAGTAACAACAATTATCCACGAAATCCAAACAGTGAGAAAGTAGAATCTGAATTTTTATGACAAATCAATCTCAGTTTGTATTATTTTTTTAAAGTCGTCTAATTTCTTTATGATTATCAAATCTTCACTCAACAAAATTCAAATTTGTAAGTTACAAACTGCGGTTACAATTTATAACCGCAGTGTAATGTGAAATAAATTCTGAAAAATGTGCGGATTTAACGCCAATGTATAAATTCGCACAAAAAATCCTAACTTTTTATAACAAAGATAAATTGTTGGAAGCAACATTCGTAGCAAATAATTACTAAATGAGGATGCATAATTACAATACAAGATCTCCATCAATTATTATATATTTTGTCTAATAAATCATTACCGTAGACATAAAAATATTACGTACACGGTAACAATTTTATTACCAAAATTATTTAGAGTAAACCCAACAGATTCTATTCCTTCCCAAATACCTCCTATACCCAAGACTCGATCCATCATTAAACCAAATATCTTTTGACACTCGGAAAGGAAGCAGAACACACCGGAACGAAGAAGTGAACAGGATAATGATTCTTGAAAAACTTCCCAAAACACAAAACACGATCTTATCATCACATTTCTCATATACGATATCCACAAACCATACAAACAACAACTAACATGAATACAAGGAAAAAAGTAAAGTGACATGCATCCTTCCCCTAAACTTTTCCCATTTCCTATCATCTTCTAACTAACAAGTAAGTTGACGGAAAATTCAAATCAATTCAACCTCCGAAAGGAAATTACGAATCATTTCAACAATTTCGTCTACATAGATTTGAGGAAAAGGAAATCGGATATGCATCCCATTTCCTGTCGTGAGTTGAATTATGTCTCCGTGTTATTATGCTAGTTCTTCTTCTCCTCCATTTCTCCGGTCTCCCTGCTAAGAAAATATTTGCACAGGGAGATACATTTTCCATGCTGGAAGTAAGACCACGCCGAGATAATGAGTTTGTGCAGACGCTACGCTACCCGATAAAATAAAACGGGTTGGGCAAGAAGACTGTAAAACGGGTCGAAATTGCGGAAAAGAGAGCGAGAGCCATTAAATTGACGTAAAGTTACAGCTGCGTTTTACACATATGCTTTCGTAATATGACATGACCAGTGGCCGCGGAAGGTGTGGGGACGTCTGGGGACATTAACATTGTAGGATGGGGGAAGGGAGGGGTTTATATAACATGGGGACATGAGGGGGACATCAAATAACCGTGGGGACATTGTTCCGCGGCCATTGGAAAGGACAGTGGTCAGACAGAAGTAAATTGTGGTGGTTGGTGTGTGCGTCCCTTGGCTGTCGTGGACTGGACATTATGACGCAAAGTAACATAATACTGTGTAACAGGGATGACAGGTTTAGGAGAATTTGCAATATAAAATTTTACTGGATACGTCCCACACGTGTCATTTCCCTGTTTTGCGGTTTTCCCGTCAAGTCAATCAAATGAACAAATTCGCAGTCCGCGTTCTCTGCTTTCGGGAGAACAAAGGGATATTCATGACGAAAGTGTACATATTTCAGGCGAAAATATTTGTTTCGCGTCGTATGATAGCTATAAATATATGTAATGAGAATGCGAGTCCAGACTAAAAATATATTAATTTAGATGTGCAAAACAAACACCACCCACGAAACTGATAATCTATTTATATGTACTTTACTCTTTGATGCATGTTTGATTTATGGCGTAATTATGCATAATTATTTAACCTTGGTTGACACATAAACGTATAATTTGTATCATTGAATACGATTCTAAGTGAAGAAGACAGCTTCTGATTTTAGCAAATGTTGCCTTTTGCGCACACCAATTTTTTTGAGGTCTACATCACAAATAAATAATATCCGGATCTAAAATTATCACAAATCTGGTGTTGTCTCACAAATAAATAATCTTCTGATCTAAAATTAACACAAATCTGGTCGTGCAAAAAAACTAAGGAACTTGCGTCATTTTTACCTTGTGTATTAGATTTGACGTGTTGTTTGAGAAGTTTTCCGTTGACGTGTAGTGTCTCAACTCGCTGCGAAAGTTTTTGCGAAAGTTTTTGCAACAGTCCTTTCTCCATAAATAATTGACCACAGTGAATTCCAAGAGTGCCAAGAATACGAAGGCTGAAATCAGTAGATAAGTACATAAATAATTAAATTCCTAATAAGAAACGGAGGAAAAAGTCAAGTCATATGTAACGACAGTTGATACACATGCCGATAAATAAATGTCAAAACTATTCACGTGTGTAAGAAAATTGAAATTTCTTAAAAAAACAAGGAAATTAACATCACAAATATTTTATAATATCCAATATTTATAATTTACTCACCCGTACAAGTACCCTTTATTGGGGAAAAATGAGAAATTAATTAAAATTTCATGTTTTAATTTGATTAATTTAATTTCTACTTATATGTAAATCGTACATACCATCCAAATATCGATCGCCTAAAATTTTTGTCAGAAAAAATCAATCGTTATCAAGAAATGTCAACTATAATATATGCATACACCCAATAAAAATTTATTACCTTGACGTACGAAGCTTGTGGCAAATTTTCTTGAATATCTGCAAAAAAATTATAAGTTAAAACAGTTTTACATATCTACACATGTACATATTATTTAAGTATGTAAACTGGGTAAACTTTCTTCACCCGGTTACACATACATGCATCGAATTAATGTTCCATACACATCCATACTTTATGCAAAGTACAAGAAACCAGCACGTGACGAGCATAATAATAACTTGGTAATCTGATTTATTGTGTAGAAGTAAAAAATGTATTTAACACTCTAAACAATGTGGTAACAAAATTGTCACCGGGCGGATACCGCGCTCGTGGCAATAATTTTTTTCAAAAAATTCAATCCCACACTTTGACACGTAGGTAACAATAGATTACACATCTAATTTGTGTAATAAGTAAACACTTTATGTACAAAATCCATTATTGGCGTTAAAGTTCGCACTTAATTTGTTTATGAAATTAATGTTCCACCACCCTTACAATTTGTAACTTACAAACTTGAATATTGGAGAAAGTTACAAAAAAATCGTTACCAACCTCACAGAAATATATTTGTAATTCCTACATTCTATTTATGACAAGATTATACTTTATTACCATACTTTTTCGAGTGAATTTCCACATGCACTTTATTTTTTCGAAATTCCGAATTTTTACTAGTTTACGGGTAAAAATTCATACAAATAACATAAAAATAACAGAAGCATAACACATTTTAAGACATTAGGTGGTGAATAAATGTAAGGAATATTCCTAACATATAAAATGTCAGTGCGTTATAATTATATATAATTATAACGCATTGACATTTTGAAATTATGTATACATAATTTCTGCCATCTTTTATCCCGAAGAAATTAAGCGAATTAAAATATATTTATCGTCCCAAATACATAAATACTGCACTCCAATTTTTTACCAAATTATTTACAGTGCTCGAAGTATAATAACAAGATCACAACGAGGATGATACATCGGAGAGAAAGCAGAATCAATTTAAACTTTTGTCATGTGTCCCCGTCCTGTCCGGAGGAGGAGGACACGTGGACAGGTGGGACAGATTTCAGGAGAAAAACCATTAGCCATGTGTCACAATAAATAACAATTTCAATCAAATTGAACTATTTCATTTCTCCAAGTTCACGGTTGGGTCAGAAAAAAAGTAGGATCTAAATCTACTCACTTTCTTCTCAAACCCACTTTTTTTTGTCGGACTTTCTCCTCAAAAACGTAAGTAATTCCACTTGCTACACAGATACGATCCACTCACTCAACTGGTTGTGGTTTGGTTTGGTTTACAAATTTTGGAGGAGAAAGTAAAGAAATTGAGAAAGTTTGTTTTTCCTCGCAGGATGAGTTCCCATCGGTCATTTTATTTTCATTTTTCACTTTCTCTCTCTCTATCCTCCTACACGCCCTCAATCTTCTCTTCACTTTAAATTATCTCGCTCGTACAACAGGTAACGTAACATGAAAGTTTGATATTTTTTTGGGGTAAGTGGAATTACGAGAGGAGAGATATTCGAGTTAAGGGAGGAGAATTTTCTTCAATTTTTTATTACTTTGTGTGTAAGAGTCAATTTCAATTCATAACTTAAATTTGAAGAGATAAATTGTAAAATATGAGTTTTATTAGATTTTTTTGTAGTACGGGTGTTGGAAATAGAGTAGGCTACGTAGTCGAGAATGAGTTGAGAGCGCCGCGTAGGTATTTTAAGTGAAAATTATGCAAGGCGTGTTTTTCCCCTCTTCTAAAAAAGAGCACACTTCGTTCTTAAGATTTGGCAGAGTAGACATATTTTTTAATGTTTTCTCTATAATTGTTAATTTGATTAAAATTATAAGTTCTTTGTAAAAGTGATTTTAGTTGAATCATAATAAATTGTTTAAAAGAGTGATACTTGTGACTTCCACTTTATCCCAGGACTATTAATTCACTCCTCAACATTCACATTTTGAAGAGAAAACTCCGACGGGTAGTCGGTTTATCGTTGTTCTCAAAATCTGGTGACCTCGACGTGATGTTGAGGTCGAGTTAAATAGTCAAGTTTAGTGTGAAGTTAAGTACGAGACCCTTGCGATCAGTGAGTGTGAAGCTGGTGACCTGGCAAGGAGAAGGAAACAACGACGAGGGATATACACCACAGATTTGCCTTTTTGAGGACCCGACCCTGAGTATTCGGGGGTTCTACAGGTGATATCTTTCTTTTCTTTTACTGTGGGACCATTTCCAAGTAGGCGAGGGATCCATTCTCGTGAGGAAGGACGTCCAGGGCAGAAAAGGCTAATTATAAAAAATCCGTTTTGCCTCGTTGAGGGCCCCATCCTGTGCATACAGGAGCAGATAAGGTCGCAATCGGCCGATATAGAGAAAAGTTGTTATAAAAAACTAATTGTTGTTTTTGTTGGCTGTTACTTCTGAGGTATGCAAGAAAATACAACCCCCGCGGCATAGCACCCGAGAGCGAAAAGCACCTGATCGATACACTCCTCCCATGGATGCCAGCCGCACAAAGAGAGAACCGACGGGATCTTTGCAAGAAGATATGGAAACCGATTCTAAACCCCCCGCACCGGACGTCCCTCCAAGTTCGTCGATGCTCGGACGAGTCTTTTCCAGGCTGTCCCCCTTCGGTGGAAAGAAAGCTCCCTCATCGTCATCGTCGTCGTCATCAGCGTCGAAACGAGCCACGGTGATTGCTGAGAGCGAGAAGAAAAAGAATGAAGTGAAGAATGAAATTGGAGATTTGGAAGAAGAAATCCAACTACAACAAATCGAAATCGATGATCTGATGCAAGTTATTTCCAGAATGAAAGATAGACTCGATCCTTCTCATCCTCAACACTGCCCAGACTCGTTATTGGACCTACGCAAAGAAATTGATTTGGTGGAAGAGGATCTGGAACAGAAGAGGTCAAAACACAAAAGACTGGTTATCCAACACAAAACGAAGATTGGAAAACTGAACAATAATCTGCTCACTTTGGAAGCAGAAACGAATGCAGACTTGGCTCAGATTGATGACAATGATCAATCACTTAGTTCTGATGAGGAGCAACATGAATATTACGACGCGAATCTGGAGAGAATCAGAAAATGTTTGAAAGGTGAAGCAGCGAAGGTAGTCGAGTGTCTCCTCGTATCGCCAGACTCTTTACCCAAAGTTATTCAATTACTTGAAGATAGATATGGACAAGCAGAGAATATAATTCACAACATGGTCCAATCAGTGAAGATAATTCCGCCAGTAAAAGATGATAAGCCCTCCTCACTTGTCACATTTGGAACGGCTGTGATCAATCTTGTCGCTACAATCAAGAATCTGGAGCAAGATGACCACTTACGTAATCCAATTCTACTCCGAGAATTAGAAGATAAGTTGCCCATGGTGGAGAGAAAATTCTGGGATTCTCACGCAAGTCAACTTCAGAATAAGCGCAATATAGAAGATTTTGCTGAATGGATTGAGACTCGTGTCAAAATGGCTCATCGCTTGTGTTCTCAGAAACCAATGGATGAAAAAGGTCAAGGGAATCAAGAGAGTAAAAAGTTAAATAAGGAGCCATCCTTGCCAACAGCAGCCGGACTATACATTGGTGATGTCAAAGTTTGTATTTTCTGTGGCAAGAAAAATCACTCCAGCAATGAATGCTTTATGGCAGAGAAGATGTCATGGAAGGAGAAGAATGACATCCTAAAGCAGACCAAGACTTGTTTTAAATGTTTCAAATTTGGCCATAGATCGAAGGATTGCAAAGGAAGGGTCCAATGCTCAATATGTGAAGGTCCACACCAAAAATCAATGTGTCATCAACTACCGTGCAACGCAAGACCATCCCAGGTGCAGTCATCGCCAGGATTCCCTGCACCACAAATGCCGTCAGCATCCAATTCAAATATCGTGTGTCGCAGGGATGTGCTAATGAAAACTGTTCTAGCAAAAGTTGAAGGACCGAGAGGATCACGCGTCGTCCGGCTGGTATTCGACGATGGGAGCCAGCTCAGCAATGGAACCAACCGTATTATTGAGTAAGTTGGAAGTCCTAAAGTTGGGGAAGAATGGGGAAGGAACATTCTTTTCGGAGCGACATTGACGGAGGCAAGAAAAGTGGATTTGCATGAAGTGGTGATTGGAAGCCTAGATGGAAGATTCAAAAAGAAAATCATCCTTCGTAAATGCCCAGCTATATGTGGCGAAGTCCCTCGTATCCCTTCTGGTCCATGGATTGATGAGTTGAAGAAGATTCATTTATCAGACTGGCAATTATGTCATGTGGACAGCCCTGATATAGAAATTTTAATCGGAAGCGATTTGTGGGGTCAACTTGTGACCAGTAAGCCTATGAAGTTGACAAGTGGGCTCACGGCTGTTGATACCGCTTTTGGATGGACTCTAAGTGGTATTGTTCCTGGTGAGAGAGAAGCCACAGTCGGAATGATGTCTATTTCCACCGCTATGCTGAATGTGGATGTCAATCTTCAAGATCTATGGAATTTAGAAGCGCTTGGAATAATGGACCCCGTTGATCATAAAACAAGAATAGAAAAGGACGAAGAGACAAAGAAACACTTTCTCCGAACTGTGTCAAAGTCAGAAGACGGACGGTACTCGGTAAAGTTACCATGGATTGGTGGAATGCCAAATATTCCAGATAATATTAAAGTTGCAGAGGCACGTCTTCTATCTGCCACTGCTAAACTTCAAGCTGCAAATAAATATGAAATCTATGATGAGATTTTCAGGGCGTGGGAAAAGGAAAGTTTTATCGAAGAAGTCCCCATGGACCCCACGGCCCTGTCACATTATCTCCCACATCGACCGGTCTTCAAACCAGAAAGTGTCACTGCGCCTGTGCGTCCAGTGTTCGACGCGTCGTGCAAGGTCGGGAGAAAGCCATCACTTAACGAGTGCCTGCAGAAAGGTCCCAATCTTTTAGAATTAATTCCATCGATCCATCTTCGATTCAGAGAAAAGAAGATTGGAGTCATCAGTGATTTGAGGAAGCCTTTCCAAATGATAAATGTAGCCGAAGA